ATAAAAGCCGCTCTGACTCTGTTCGGCGGGTATTATCAATATAGCCTTCTTTTCTAGTAGCGAGAAAATCTCTTGCTCCAGAATATGGGCCGACTCTCCCCGGGCCTGTGAATACAGAATGCCCGAGAAGTGAGGGGGGGTGACAGCGAATTGGAGCCTGTAGCCCCGTGTTACTGTCTTGAAAACCCAAGCAGATACTGTGAGCATCCTCCACTTTTCGCTTCTCAAAGCGAGCGGAGATGTCACAGCTCTGTCGTCTGCCCTCAGTGTCTTTATTTGTTGTGTTATGGGGCCCTCTAGTGTCTGAACACGGTGGTACCCCAGGTTGACAACCCCGGCCGACACTGCGCATGCGCGTGGCGGTGGTGCCTTCACAATCCCGTCTATTGTCCGCCTTTTGAGAGAGGCCGTAGCCGCTCTCAAAAGAGGGACAGACGACAGACTGTTTATTGTTTTTATTGTTTTTCTTTTCATTTTTATTGACTGCGCCCTTGGCTTCAAGCCTGGAAACAACAGTGGAAAATGATTTATTTTGAAACAACAATGATGACGTGTGTTTGTGTGACTTAAACAGGCAGCGGAACTTGCTGTCTTTGATGTTAAGTCCATTTCCCTGATGGCGCGAACTTGAGGATGACGTTCTGGCATCACTCGAGGCGGCAGGAAGATGGGGGCATGGTGGCACCCCGAAAACACATCCAACACTGGAACGTGCTCTGGAGCTGGGGAACAGGGAACTTCCAGCTCCTTCGTCGAGGAGAGGAGGCTGTCAGGCCGCCCGCTCCTTCTTCCTCGCCTGGTGGCTGAAAACCTGGGTCGGCTGCGCCTGAGCGGCAGCTGCCGGAACCGGAGATTTTCTTGGCCAGCTCCCCCTCGCCCCGTGCCTGGGGACCCGGGACGGGCTGTGGTCTCTGCTGCTTCGGTATCTTGAACCGGGCAGGACGCGAGGCAGCTTGAGTGAAGGCCTGCCACGGGACCATTGAATGTGGCGGCTAGACCCTTCGGGGGAGACAGAGCTGGAGAGCCTCGTCTCCCTTCCTTTTTGATTCGCATCGAAGCTAGAGCGGAGCCAAATATGCCCTCGGGAACAATAGGCATGTCCAGAACATCCTCTTTTTCCCGGTCTGGAAGGTTCGTCAGGTTGAGCCACAGTCTGGCTCTCTCCTGTACCACCATAATTCCCAGTGCTTTTCCCGTGGCTTGGACTGCACAGCGCTGCACACGGAGGCAAATGTCCGTGATCGCTGCGATCTCGTCCCACACGGCAGGCTCAGGTTTGCTCGACAAGTCTTTGCAGAGCTCCGCCTGGTAGGCGGTCAGCAGCGAGGAGACGTTGCGTGCCCTGGCGGACAAAGCTGCGGCTTTATAGGCCCGTTCGGTCATCGCTGACTGGAACCGGTCTGCCTTTGCCGGTAGCATGGGGTTCCTGCTCGGTGTCGAAGCCAGCCTCGGTTGGAGGTGGGCTGCCACCAGCGGTTCCATGGGCGGCATGCGGAGCAGGCCGAGCCTCTCCATACCGTCACAGTCCAGGGAGGAGGCACCCTGGATTGGGGCCTTGCTGCTAAAAGGGCGGTCTCTCCACGAGACCGACACCTCGTCCAGCATCTCCGGAAAGACTGGAAGGAGCTGCCTCTTCGTCCTCGCTGCTTGGGGCAAGTTCTTCCCCTCGTAGCGAGATCTGGAGGTCTCCTTGGCCACTTCAGGCCATGGGATGTCCAGCCTGGATGCAGCGCGTTGACACACGGCCTGCAAGTCCACACTTAGGAAGGGCGAAGCTGGTGTGCTTTCGCCCGGGAGAGCGGACATCGCTCCCGGCTTTGCAACCTGAGCCGATGAAACGAAGATGTCATCCTCATCCTAGTCGGACAGGAGGAACTCAGAGGTATCCTCTTCATCCTCCATATAGTCCAACTCCAGGACATCCTCCGCGGGTGGAACCATGGTGAGGTCCAGTTGGGAGCCCCAGCTTGACACAGCGCGGGGCTCCGCTCTCGCGGCTCTTGCCGCCACCGGGTCCCAGACTGACACGGCGTGGGGCTCCGGTTCAGCGGCTGCCGCTGTTGTTGAGCCCCAGCCTGACACAGCGCGGGGCTCAATTTCTGCGGCGGACGCCACCATGTCTTGATTGCCGGCCGGCGAATCAGTGGACATGAGGGGGTCCCGTCCCGACAAGCTAGCTTGGCGTGCTAACCGTCGGCAGAGGCTCTTAATGGTGAAGCGGGTACAATGCCCGCACGAGCCGGGGTTATCGATAGCCTCCCGGGCGTGTTCCAGCCCGAGGCAGGACGAGCAGACCTGGTGTGAGTCTGTGCCTGAAATCTTAAACCCGCAGCCGCATAGCCGAGCCTCCGAGTCCCTGACTCCTCTGGTGTGAGGGAGAGAAGGGTCCATCTTCGACCGCCGGGGTGTCGGCGTGGAGTGGACACGTTAGTAACAGGTACGTTACTGAGAAAAAAATCCAACCTTGCCGTTAGTCCGAATGAAAAAAGGCGACGGTGTAGATTTTATTCTTTAAAGAATATTAACTGGTGTGTTAATACCTTTTTTTTATCTCTGTCTCCTCTGGTGTGAGAGAGAAAAGAGAATGTCCTCTTTACCGTGTCGGTGTGGAGGGAAGAAAAAACTAGCAGCAGGTATGTTACTAGCTTGAAGAAAAATCAAACCTTACCGTTATTTCGACAGAAAGAAACGGCGAGGCAGATTACAATATTAACTGGTGTGTTAATATTGCTCAGTCTTCTTGCAAAGCAAAAAAGTAACCGGCAAGCGCCCGTCGACCGAACGTTAGCTTTGGGTTCAGTCTGTGGACTGTTAAGCTAGCCCGGCTACTGATAAACGAGATGTGCTCTGAAGCGAGAAGAGGTGTTTGAATGACGCTGCGTCGTAGCGCAAGCTTCTTAAAGGGTGGGTGGATTCCCTGACGTCAAGATCACCAGCCAATCAGGATTGGCGTAATGAGATTGATGCTTCTGTTTGCATACGCGTTGAGGCGCATCCCATAGTGAGACATCGAACGGAGTGTTATGAATGAGAACATTTTGTTGATGCAAGATTGACAAGAAGAATGTTCATGTTTGTACATCCAATTCAGCTGCAGTAGTCCTCTGTCTATTGTATGGAAGAAAAAGTTTCCTTTCCATTAATTTTCCTGCATGCCTCATATCATCTCTATTAGTAGTTTTTGTGCATCATCTAATCTCTCGAACCCCTTGACATTTAGCTAGGAACAGCGGAAAGAAGGGAAGCAGAGAAGAAGAAGAATTATACTTGATTAGATCAGAGAAAAGAATCAGATACGCTCTCTAGCTCATGACATTAATGTTATAGAGTTATGGCTTCAGCGGTTATGACATATGATATTTTTATCAGATCAATAATTCAATAAACCTCAGCACTTGCTGCTTCATAAAAACGACACTATCAGACGGTATGGACTTATACTACAATAAGAGAGAAGTTATCAAGTACAGCAAACGGAATTCTGTTTTTCTTTTCCTATATCCCAAACACAGGAACATACAACATACAGTGTCACACACTAAATTCCAGACAGTATTTTCCTGCAGGTAAAAGCACCAAGACACATGTGGTCGAAACAGATATATGATCAATACATTCACCTGTGTAATAATGACTGAGCCAATTATTCAAACCAATGTTGTCAAACACATTGTGTTTTTCTGCCTTTTTAAAAGTGTGCTGCAATGTAAAGCTCTGTAAATCATCTGTCTGCAATGCATTATTCAATGTTGCAGTGAACCAGGATGGCTGCATAATTAAAGTCAAAAACAAAGAAATGCTACTAAAAGACAACAACAATAAAAGAAACAGGTCATTCCCAGCTGCTGACATCGGGCCAAAGACTGAAGGTCCTCATTTATTTCTGAAAAGAACTATAAGAAAGTCTTTATTCCATCGGCTGTGGCCATCCTCAATAACAGCCTGTTTAAATAAGGCTCCCCTCACACACACACACACACACACACCTTGCCTCAAACTTAAGCTCCCTTTTCAAGCATCAAGGATCCTTCTTAGGGAATTCTGCCACCAACATCATAACCTGATTTTAATGAATAGTACATTATTTATTTGTAATACAAATGATAGTTTAATGGACCCAAGCCAATGGAAGAACAAACCACTGTACTTTTATTAATCCTTATTATTTATTTAAGACGCAATTTCCCTATTTGTGTGTGTATGAGTTGTATTTTGTACTGTATATAGTGAGTGTTACTTGCATGTTATTTGCCAGTGCCAAATACACATTTCCATTATATGTATTATTAATAAATTATACTTTTAATGGACAATGAAGTATTTTGAATATGAATCTGAGAAACAAAACAAAGGAATGCCTTCTATGACAGGCAGCGAAATGGACAAGAATGAAAATCCACAGGTAACAATGCTTACAGTAAGGAATCTACGATATTCAATTAACAGGGTTGAATTGGACTAGTTGATCCACGTTGTAAACAACCTTCAGTGAGATTAGCTAGCAGGCTAATAACCAAGCTAATAACTGAGTAACTTGCTCACTCGAGCAGCGCCTGGTTCTGGTTAGGAGGTGACGCTCAATGTGTACGGTAACTGTTAACAGTCTGTAAATAAAGATATATGGTATGCCATAAGGGAAATATGTCCATGTCTTCTAATGGAAACAAGTTAAACAGGAACGTAAACTAACGTTACACACAGTAAGCGACGTTGCGCTAGCTTTGCTGTGCACCAACTTCATTGGCCATACCGAAGCACTTCAATTCAACTAACGTTACCTGTAAAAAAGTAGCCGCAAAACAAATACTTTAGTCTCAAATTCACCCCAGCAGAATACATTGGGTCTCTGGGCATTTACGTCAATTGATAAAACACGAAGTACGCTACGGTAATTTGTCTGACAAACAATATAGTTGAGATGCCATCACTGCCATTCCACTTTGTGTCTGCATCTGACTGTACGCACAGGAAATACAAACAAAACAGGTTGTTTTACTTACAGTTATAATACTTGAAAGTGTAAAGTTAAATCCTTGAAACGAACAGCGTCGGTTTCGTTGATAAAAACATTATATTTCTGTGGCAATAGCTGAAGTATGTCTGGTGTCCCTGCCTTGTCTGACTGGTTTTGGGAAAGAAAAAAACCTGCTCTGGCATCAGCAACCAATGGCTTTGGATGTAATCGTGACTGACGTCTACCCAACCAATTACCAGTGTCGAGCCCTTGTGGTTGGTCTCTCAGCCAATAAAGTAAGACTAGGCGGGATTGTATGGGATTTGACAAACGCGAGTGACATTTGCTTGGCCCAATCCCTGCAGTGCAAACACGACATTTTAAAAGTAGGCGGTATTTCGACAGTTGTATTAACCAATCAGGTAAAGCGGAGAGCTGATATTAATGGCGGCAGCAAAACAATAGCACGTTGGGGTTTGACAGGGTACATATTTCAAAGAAAAGCAATAAATCATCAGGTGATGAAGAACAATCCAAGATGTGGGAAGCAAAGACCCTGTCCACATTATGTATCTACTGTAAGGTGTCATATGTTCTTTGAACAGAGGCAACAACTGTTTTCCCCCTTCTCTTTTCTCTCTCTCAAGCATGAATCCAGTTTGCCCCCCCTGGTGTATGAGAATCAGTGTAGGCTGCAACCCCTTTATACAGTCTATGGCTGCAACATGCAGGTGGTTCAGGCAGTGTTCATTTCCACGTGTTTTGCTCAATTATTTAGAGGCAACTTTAAAATTGTGTAGGCCAGATATCTTTTCCCCGTACATTTTCTTTGACAACCTTTTGGGAACATTCTTGCCTTTTTTCCATTAGATGTACACCTTGAATTGTGTTTTATATTATTGGTTAGTTAGTTAGTGAGGTCATTCTTAACCCAGTGTTTGAATTATAAAATGAAAATTGGAAAATCACACACAATCTCGTTAAAAGTAATCCCTCTGAGTCGTCTGAATAGTTGAATAAATAGTGTAACATTCTGCTGGTACCAATGGGCTAAAGGGGGAATCCTGCATCTCAAGGACCAATGTGAAAATTGTCATATGGTTAACTTTGAATACATGAAACATTATAACTTTTTGGCAAATACAGATTTCTGAAAATATCTTCTGCTCAGTTCTGAATTGTTTCTGGGATTTGGCCCAGAAACAATTCATATTCCTGTCATTTGAGTACTATCTCCAAAAAACTGCAGATACAGTACAGGTTTTCACTAACTGTACGGAAGCCAATTTGTTGTGAGGCAAATAGAAACATTTCAACCGTCATTTGAGCATTGGAACAACTGTTTTATTCAACATAGCAGCTTAGGTAATGGTCATATTCCGACTCTTAGAACAAAATACTGGTTCCTGGACATATTGTAAACATTTACATTTTAAATGTATAATTTTTCTGAAGATTCCTAGTTTTTGGAATAGGGATGATCAAACAGTAACGTTTGTGTCCATCAATGGAGCAACCTCCACCCAATATCCCCTTTTCAGCTCCAGGCTGATTTGGACAATTTTTCAAGATATTTTCTAACTAACTCTACAAGTTATTTATAGTTCATTCTTCTTGCGTTTTGTTAGTCTCCTTACCATGACCCTCTCCCCCACTCTCCGTCAAAATAACCACACAAAATATGTCACATGACAAACAGCATAGTTATTTATTGAGAAAAAATACTGTACAGGGAGGACAGATAAATAAAGCTTTATTATTAATTAAAAAAAACATCATTCAACTAAACAAAATCCACAGTTATCAGTACTTTGGAAGTTCAAATTTGTACATAAAACATATTTACAAAATGTGTTGCTTTGCCCTTTTTTATATTTGTGCATAAATTGAAAAAAAAATACACTTTGTACCTTTTGGTTTTAGTACAAATACATGTCAAAAAGATCACAGTGCAAAAACTGTAATGTGAGTTTGTAAAATTCCATATACATGTTTTTTCTAGTGCATGCTGAATGATGACACTGCGGAGGAGAGAACCAGGCGTCCCAGCCTCATAAGCTCTCTGATCAAACGTTTTTTTCCCGGGATTTAGCTTATTTTGTTTCAGGCATCGAAGGCTACAGATTGTTTATTGAGCTGTATAACTGTACAGGAGAAACAACAGCCCCACATCCCACAACTGAACTTATTTCCACTCATTAAAATGACAGATGATGAAACCCTGAAGGACGTCATTTCGCCGGATGATAAGTGTTTATTGGTGTTTAAACTAATCTCCTCATTACAGCAGGATTCTAGCTGCTACCACATGGTCCTGTGATCTATGCTAAGAGAGCATCACCAAAATGAAAAAGATAGAAGTCTTAGTAAATGAATGAACACTGTGTTTATTTTTTAAGAAGGGGAATATGGGGATTATGTGCTTGTTAGTCTTTCTAAAGTTTCTGACATCTGAGGTTGTTTAATTAACAAAAATCACTAATACTACAAATGTGACAAACACCATGTTTCTGTAGGAGAACATAATCATTCAATAGTCATAGAATGACTTGTGGCACCTCCTGGTTTTAACACATTAAGCATGAGAAATTAAATAAATTAAACAGGGTTTAAAAAACGTCTTCGACATTTCTCTTTAAATTGGGGGGAATTCTTCACCCACAATATGTCAACTACTGCTCAAAGGCTAAATCTGCAATTTTTGCATATAAAATGTTACAGTTGTTCATATTTTTATCACTGAAATTAGGAAAAAGAACCACCAGAAATGCTCCTTTAGCCTAGACCCCACAAAATGCTGCTGCTAGCTTAAAAGCTAACGACAGACAGCAGCGTTTAAGAAAAAACTTCTTCATGATTTAGAATGTAAACTGGTACATTTTAAAGCCATAGCTAGCTACTGAGCTCTCTATGCTTCAAACTGATATCAAGTTTTCTCCAGTGGAGTATGCTTGAAAGCTAGTTCAGCAGGCCAAGGCATGGCATGACAAGACAAAAAAGCATTAGCTTTAGCTTGAAAGCTAGGTTTTAGTTCAATGTCTGTCGCTTTCTTTTAGTTTTTATTTTTAGGCAGACAATCATTTTGATCTGACTGGTTAATGCATATCAAATATATGTTTGCCTTTTATCTTTTTAAGCAGATCTCTCAACAACTCTCAATGAGGTCCTATTGAAGCTGTGTGATTCTGTATAATTAAATTGCGGTTGAAGAGACTGGTTTTGATGTAAATCTTTAGGGAAATGCAGGATTTTCTTCATGAGTTTGAACAAGTCTCTTAAGAAACATGACTGTGTGTTTGCTTCTAAAGAAGCAGACCAACTGCTGAGAGAAGGGGGATTAGAGGAGAGGAGGAGAAGGGAGAGAATAAGGAGGGGGAGAATGGAGAGAAGAAGGAGAAGAGGGGAGAAAGAAAATGACAGGAGAGGAAGCGAAGAGGAGGAAGAGGAGGACTGCAGTGAGTAGAGAGTGAAAGTGAGACGGGCTCCTGCCTCTCAGTTTCAGGAGAATTGTGCTCCTCTCAGCAGCAGGATGAAATATTATTCTCCAGTCTGCTGCTTCCTATGAAATGCTTCTCTGCAGAGTATAGGAGGAGAAAATCAATTTGGTGTAAAGCTACAAGATATTATTGTGGAGGAGTGTGTGTCGGTGTGTTATCAGCACCTGCAGGGCTGTACACACTGTTTGGATTAAGAGGAAGGATTCTGGGTAGGAATTAAGAGAGCTATACTTGGTTTTAAAAGTTCAAAGCAGAGGGATTATATGGAGGTTTAAAGTATCTGCTCTTGCAAAAGAAACTTTAACAAATATTTGTTATTATCCTCATTTCACTTATAATCCAATACATGTATGAATTGTCTTTCCAGTCAAATGTAAAACACCCATATATTGGAACACGTCTAAAATGTGGAGTTCAAAGGAGACTTGACTGCAGATAATTAAGGATTGTTATTTCGAAAATAAAAGCAGGACAAGTCTTACTGTAGAATAAACCTGACTATGGTATAGACTGCTCCATTTTTAAATGACGGGTGGGTGTGAAATAACAGCCAAAGAATAAAAGACCTTCAGTGAAAGAAAGGTGACTTAGCTCTTCTCCTGAAGGGTGTGAAAGTAAAACAGATGAACAACAGTAAAAACTAACATGACCAATGAAAGTGGATCAGAAAACAAGAAATAAAGGCCTGTCTGTGCTTATAAGTGGTTTAAAGTCTCCAGAGACTACGTGACAGTCTACTGTATGATCTCCAGCAGGTAGTGACTGTCTGTCTTTAAAGAGTGGTATTGAGTGGTGCGACAGTGAGTTTGAATATTGTTCTTACATGACGTCAAGGTAAACCCGTTGATTGTCTATTATTTGAACACTTTTACAGAAGAAGGGCTGTGAAATATTTTTGTTATTTCTAATATCAAAATGTCGGAAGCTTTTTACATTTCATAAAAACGTCTGTTGGTATTAAGTGTCTAAATAATACAACTGAAAGCATTCCTGCCGAAAATTAGCCACCTTTAGCTTAGCGAAAGTGGCGTGAAGTCATGTGACTGTGACAGTTATTTTATAGCCTACCTTGAGCTTTTTATTTCTGGCGATTGCATTTACGCTTCAATAATCATCAAGTGGTGTTACTATGTGGAGATTATCATGCTGAAAAAGCATTAAAGTATCGTAAACGTGTTTGCCACAGATCTAATTTCCTGCAGTATTCCAATAGCCAATGGAAAAAACTCCTTGACTTTCTTTTAAAGGAACCCTTGCAAAGCTGACTGCGCCATTTGGTCAACAGTTCACCAAGGAGCTACTCAATGGACTAATATCTCCAAAGTAAGAACAAAACGTCAAGTGAAACTAATATTCAATGACAAACACCCTTCAAATGTGTAAAAAATACACAACTACAAACTCATCTAGCTGTTTTTTCATTCAAATGTGTCTGGAATAATTCATTCTGAATGCAGAAGTTTAAAAAACGATAACATGATATCTTCATATGATCTCAATATATGTCCTATAAAAGTCCAAATATTCAATAGGAAGTTATTTTTAATGCTGTTTTTATGGGTAATGCTTATAATTCTGTCTTCTCCAAATAGTCTTTTAGTAGGGCTTTTACTAAAAAATAACAGTGTCATACTGATCATAGGGAAACCAATGTCCAAATGGTAGACTTCTTAATAATTAACTTCAATTAAATGGACATGCAAAAATTTAAAAATACGTGAAATGTAGAAGCAAGCATACATAGGCTACAGTATGGAGCCCCTGAAGTCCTGAGAGATACTCATTTAGAGCGGAAAATAAAAAAAAGAATCTTTAAGGACTTTGAGGGGTTTGACGTAGAGACAATAAAATGTTTAATTTGAAAAGCGCTTAACAACACAAGCCAACATTCACCCGTTCACACACACACATTGACACACTTTTAAACTTTCAAGGAGCTTCCCATTTTCCCTGTAATAAGTACCAGATGACTTAAACAATTCTGATTCAATAATTAGGAAATGACAGAAGAAAATACTCATGTATATAAAGTGCATGTTAAAATCTTTGTATTCCTGATCCTGTTGAGCTGAAGTGATTGTCACACTGAGACGATTAAAGCTGAGCACTGATTCTTCTGCAGGGCTCACACGGAGCTAAATTCATACACCACCTATCCCACAGGAGTGATGTCTACATATTGGAGGTGATTATCTGAGAACGTACACTTTGAGCATGAGTCATCGCACGCAGACTATATCTATATCTAGATATCAGACGTAAGGCACTATAAGCAGAGCGTGTCCTTCTGTGACTGACCTGTCATTGGTTGATTGTCTGTGGACACACTGACCTCTGCACAGTGTGGACAGTGAGCAATGAGGCTGGTGCACCATGTGGTGTGGCGACTGTTACTCCCTCATATCTGACAGCTTGACTGATACAACTGGAGTTAAAGCAAATGTGGTGACACACGAATCACACTTTAGACTAAAAGTTCAGCCAGTGGAACTTCACTGAAGCTGAGGAGCTGCTAGCACCACAAACATTCAGAGTTAGCATTAGCGATACTTGAAAGAAATGGCAGTCATAGAGCGGTGCAGGAATAAGTGCTAAAACACGGAAATAAAGAGCATCTTAGCACTTTGTCTCAAAGTGAAAGTTTTTTCTTAATGTGTTAAGAAGTCTGAAATAAAGTCTGTGATTAACACCAGTTTAAGAGATGTTCACGTTTTGTTCTACGACATAAAATATGTAATTAAATACCACAATGTTTGCTAACAAGTGGCTACTTAACGTCATAAAGTCGAACGTTAGCCATCTTTAGCTTAGCGGTGGTAACCTAACGTTAGCTTTTTTTTACTTTTCGTGATTGCATTTACGCTTCAAAAGTGGTGGTAAAGTGGGGTTAATATGTAGAGAATATTCTGCTAAAAAAACATGTAAGTATCATAAAATTGTGTTTGCCACAGAGCTTATTTTCTGCAATAATCCAAAATCCAATGGAAAATTACCGTTAGCTATTTGTCAAGGGAGCCCTTGTGATGCTAACTTCCGTTTCTGCCTACAAAAATACGTCATCCCTGCATCACTCTATGGTTGGTTCATGTTAAAGCTACATTTGAAAGCCTTGAGGCACCATGTGACTTGGTCTATCACATGACATTTTCCTATTGGTGTCCTCACATTGATCCATGGCTTTGCGTCACATCTCTAACCGCTGGAAGCTTGTCGGGGAAATTGTTGGCACTTGTGAATGACAGTCATCGGCTCACCATCATGTCCTCTGGTGTCCCCCTGGAGGAGGCCAAAACTTCTATTTACCTGGGACATACGCAGGTGAGTCAGACTGTCCATTGTGTCTGACAGGCGGACATTTTAAATCCAAAAAGAGGGATAAGGCGTCCTGTTTGCTGCGAGGCCTGCAGTGTGTCCAGGTTCTCAGCAGAAGAAGATGTCTCCATCATTCTGAGGGTCCGACATCACTGCAGCGTTGCTTTCTAAAGAGAAATAAAGACACAGGTTATGATCTGGCCGAGAACATTTCTAGCACAAACTCCTGTAGAAAACGGACCTGTTTCCATGTTTATGCTAAGCTAGGCTAACATAGCGTCACACAGTGCAGACTAAATTGTAAATACAATTGTGTCAACCTGATTCTCATCAGTGATGATAAAGTAAAGGAAACCCTAATGAAGGCGTGAAGTGAAAATAGATAAGAAGAAAATGGAACCAATTTCCAATGGAAGCTATCCAACAGATTATATACATTATATATATTATGTTCTGTCTCAAATAATAATTTATATTATTGAGTACTTCAGAAATTCTCTCGTTAATTATTCAATAAACAAACATTTATTTCCCACGCCCAAGTTGCCAACCAGACTTGTTTATTTGAAGTGAAGCAAGATTTAATCTTTGGTTGAATACTTGATTCTGATTGGTCAATTCATACATTCAGAGGTCTGCTGTTTTACGATAGCAGACCGCTGCTGAAGAAAGCAGATCATTAAGGCTAAGGCAATGTGATCAAGGGACTATGTGCAGTCATATCAATCCGCAGGAAGAAGTCCGGTCAATTTAATGCCGGCTCTGGCTTTAGTAAACACTAAAGGGAACAGCAGAGGAACATAGACAGGAAGTAGTAAACCCTAAAGGGAACAGCAGAAGTAACCACTCACGGGAACAACAGAAGTAAACACTCATGGGAACACAGTATGGGTACCGCAGTTCTAGCTGTTGGTTCGCAATAGAAAATAAAAAAGAATGTCTTACAGAAAGCAAAACAATAATCTTTTAATCAATAAAATCATGTTGAAATCAATGCTGTGTCATATTATTGATTTATTAAGTAAGCACTGCAGTCGTGTTATAAGCGGGAAATCATCGTACCCGTGGGAGTCAGCTCTCCTTTGCCTTTCTTCTTCCTCTTGTCTTTCTTCTCTTTAGGTTTGGTCAGCTGCAGCAGCCGGGGCAGCTGGGACTCCTTCTCTGCTCCCTGAGGCTTAGAGGAGGAGGAGGAGGAGGAGGAGAAGGGGTTGAAGTGTTTGCCCATCCTCTTGGATCCGATGCGGAGGAAAGGTTCTTTGGCGGGGGCCGAAGATGAGAGCTCAACCTGAAGAACATCAAGAAAAAAACTTTTTATTTCAGTTTTCCTAGCACTCATATAGCAACCTACTAAACTGCATCACTGGTTTGTCTTCTTTCTATAAAACCGTTTTAATGACGGCTTTATTTTTACCCCTTTAAGCTGTTCTGCTGCTTCTTTTGAATCTAGATCCAGAGACCAGGTGCTGTGGGACCTCATGGAGTCTTCAGAGGTGGTGGAGGGGGTCCGCTGGTACTTCTGAAGCTGCTCCGACTGTAATGGTGCATCAAGACATAAAGTCATTTACAAGACCTCTGGTTAATCTTTAACCCAGTTCTAGTAGTTGTTCTTCTACATTGATTCATGAAGCATCCTAGATCTAACTCCAGGACATCAGGATGACATGATGTGTGCCACAGTGACATAGAGACACCTCCAACCTGCACAGCGTGATGTACAGGTGGTGTACGGGTGATGTACGGGTGGTGTACGGGTGGTGTACAGGTGGTGTAATGGGTGGTGTACGGGTGGTGTACAGGTGGTGTAATGGGTGGTGTACGGGTGGTGTACAGGTGGTGTAATGGGTGGTGTACGGGTGGTGTACGGGTGGTGTACGGGTGGTGTACAGGTGGTGTACAGGTGGTGTAATGGTGATTATACTGTTGGCCGAGGCGGCCCTAATGTGAATGATTGTGATGCAATGTTGATACTAAAAAGAAACTACAGTTTTTTACGACTTTTCGTAGCTGCGACTTAGGTTGAACGTATATACTGTACCGACTAACGGTGACTTGTTGAGTTCATTACCAGTTGCTTTCTTTGTTTGATTTTGTCATTTTATTTAGCTAATTGAATGGTCTTTGTTGGAAGAACAAGTGAGATGCACCGCTGAGCAGGCAGAACGAGAGAAATTGTGTAAGCAGACATATTTTCACATACTAGGGTTTATTTGGACCAAAGAAGTTGATGGAAAGACTAACCAAGGCGGCTTTCATAGCTATGGCCATCACTTCCATCAATATTGACAACATTGCAATTCACAACTTTGATAGTTAATATCTGTGAACACAGGCTCAATTCAGACACTTCATGTTGTACGCTATGAACCCCTGTGCAGAGTGGGAATTTTGCCCAGTCAGTGTCTAAAATCGCACACAGCCGTTGTGCCCTCACTGGAAGTGACGATCGCCGTCGTTAGCAAGCTAGCTAGCTAGCTAGCATCGATCGTTATCGATACCAAGTCATTACAGACTGCTTAACAAACCCCAAAACACATGTAAAACGTGTATTTGTATAGTGCTGACCAGAGCAACTGGAATGGCGGCTGGTCGCTAACGTCCGTCTCGTAGCCATGATGGCTCATTGAGTGCTAGAAGTGTCCAGACTTCAACATTTTGAACGTGCAGTCATCTGTGTACTCATAGTGCATTTTTCCAAACTGCGCATGTGGACCCACTCAGGCTTTTAATATAGCACATGTAAGAACAATAGAACGCATATTGACAGGTCGGAACACGAGCAGTCAGGAGACCTAACTCAGATGAATGCCACTGATAATCCATCATAGCGCAGAAACTAAAGTAAGATCAGTTGGTGATCATTATTCTGTTGGTCTATATGGCGAGTTTGTTTGTGTCTGTCTGATAGTCTGACTTTTTTTTTTAAAGAATCTCAGAAATGCACATAATTACAATGTGTCCATTAAGGCTTATGATGTCACCACTACGTCACCATGTAATCATGTCCATCCCATAGGGTCTACACTTACAATTGTTCAGTTATACAGTCATGTTTAGCTGATATCAGACACATGCTCTCCTGCTTCACACTGTACTCTGACCTCTTCTCTCTGTAGGTCCTCCAGTCGCTCCGTGTCTCTCCTCAGAGCTTCCTTGTCTCTCTCCAGCCTCCTCTGCGCCTCCCTCAGCCTCTCCAGCTCTCCCTGGTACTCCTCTTTCTTCCTCTGCAGCGTCTCCGCCTCCTCGGCCAGCTCCTGGTGCCTCTTCCTGCTCTGCTCCTCCTCCGCCTGCAGCCTCTCCTCTCGTTCTGCCAGACATCTCTCCTTCATGTCCCAGGCCTTCTCTCTCTTCCTCTTCTCTTCCTGGTGTGCAGCCTGCTGTTTCTGTGGAGATATTGTTATACTGGTTATACTGGTGAGTGTAGAATCAACAAATGTGAGGTACAAAGAATCTTATAGATAAATGTGATACTATGGTTGCAGTTTTTTGCTACGGTAGGTTCCTAACTGAGTAAAATGATACGGAAGTACTTAAGTGGCAGCCAGGATATGAGCTGTATGAATTCTCTAGGTGATCAGGAAGATGCTTCAATGCTCCCTTTATTAATATTTATTATTAAGAAATTAATGCAACTGATTATTTAATGTTTAATGTTGTTTTTATGGGCAATAATTTAAGCTTTGTTAGTTCCAGGTTTAATATGTGCAATAAGTTAATTCCAATAAGTTCTGCAATAAACATTGAACCAGTCCGGCCCTCGACTAGTACCCATTTGACACCCCTGCTCTAGACCATCGTTTATGAGATGAGAGGAAAGGAGATAATGCTGTGTCACAATTTAAATTCCTCGTATTGCAACATTCGAGGTGAAGCACCGACTGGACGTCCAAAGAAACAACCCGATAGTGATCGACAAATGCAGATCGAGTAAGTTACGGTGCTTATCGAGCATCGAACAACTGGCATTAACTTAATAATAACTTGCTAAAGTGTTTATGCTGCTGGATATCTTAACCTATAATAATATATCAACGTTTATTTAATAATTGAGTTATATTTTGTATTAACTAATAATCTGACCATGTATCTGTAAAAGATAACTAAAGCTCTCAGAAAAATGTAGTGGAGCAAAAATGACAATATTGGCTTCCTAAATGTAGTGGAGTACAAGTATAATGAAAAAAAAGTTTTTACTTAAGTACTTCAGTAAATGTACTTCATTACATTCCACCAATGACGGCATAGTAAATGTCGCCGACGTGTAAGCAATGTATTTATTGCAGAAACTATTATTTATAAAAATAGTTTTATACATACAGTATGATATGCATCATACAAATTATAATATATAATAATACTAATTCTTTTTTAAAATTGTATTTAAATCTTGGTAATGAAGTCATTTGTTCACTTTTGTCCACGTTTTTAAAGCCTGCACGAAACAACATGATAAGAATGGATGAAGTGTCTGGATATGCCTCTAGTAGTCGGACATTTTTAGTTTTCCTACGGCAGACGCGTATCAATTACATCCTCCGTAACTATTAATTACGTCGCCTATTGTAATTGCCATTGTTTTTTCTAAAGTCCAGATGAATTATTTCCCAAAAAAAGAAGTCTTATGAACATTGTAGTGAAAGGTTACCTGCAGGGTGGCCGCCTCCTGGCGCTGTCTCTCCAGACTCCTGTGTTTCTCCTGCTCGATGAGGGAGGAGGGCCGGGAGGAGGAAGAGGAGGAGAGGGAGGAAGACGACGAGTGTCTGGAAGAGTTGGCCACCAGCCGCTCGTTCAGGGTCTGCCGCTGGTCTTCGATGAAGGAGTCCTGCTGCACCACCACAGCCTAGAGGGAGGACAGGAGGGTTTAGGATGGATAGGATGAAAGGGTAGAGGGAATGACCTTTGAACTGAGGGGTGTCTCTGGTACCTGGAGTGAGATCAGCAGGTCGTGGAGATGCGTCACGCTGTGCTGCACCTGCTGGAGGGACAGAGCTTTCAGTTATTCTGTACTATGTAAATGAAACATATCTTCACATGATATTATGATGTTATGTCACAGGCAAATGTAATAGGGAAAGATATTTAAGTACGAATTCTCAAAACAATGTTGCCAGCAAATGTGTTCAAAAACTCAAGTTAAGTACAAGTACCTCAAGAATGGCACTTAAGCACAGTACTTCAGTAAATGTACTTAATGTAATGTTACTTTCCAACACTTGCTGGCACACACCATAACCACGGTCACGAGGCGGGGCTTCTGGTGTCATAGAGACAGGGAGGAGGGGCCAACTTTGAACGGTATGTTTAAAAACTGTGAACTACTAATCCTAGCTACTGTACCTTCAAATAATACCGTACCAGAGATATATTATTATAACATATTTACTTTACGAATTGCTTCATAACTTACAGTTAAAAAGTGGAAGCAGTAAATGAGTGTTTCTGATAACCCTGCAGAGAGTATTAGAAACAGCATTCTTACCTCATTGTTTCTCTTCAGCATCATCTGTAGGCTGGCAGTAGCTCCCTGAGGCACACACACACACACACATTACAGCACATATAACAGCACACAGTCATACTGTAATATAATGCTAGCAGAGTGTGTCTAGACTGTAAGCAGCAGAGATATTGGAGCAGATATCTGCTCGGCTGCAGCGGAGTGGAAAATGACTGATGATGTGCTGACTGGAATAAAGTGTTCAGAATCAGAATACCTTTATTCTTCCCACAGAGGGGACATTTACATTCCCATTCATTATAGAGGGTAATGTGTTGTTTTAAAGCTATAGTGGGGAGTCTTCTGTTAGATATGTTGACATTCCCTTTATACCACAACAGTTTGTAGAAATGACCTAACTATAGAATAGAAGAATTGGGAGGGATGAAACCCTCTTCAATGGTCTCACATGCAGAGCACACAGCACACAGTGAAATGTGTTCTCTGCTTTTAACCCATCCTAGAACCAGGAGTCTAGTACTAGGAGCAGTGGGCAGCTAGTGTACAGCGCCCGGGGACTACACACCTACCTTTCATCCTTCCTTTATAGCTATCTTATTTCCATCCTTCCAACTTACCTGCTTACTTATCTACCTTTCATCCATCCTTCGAACCTACTTTATTTCCTTCCTTCGGCCCTCCATACCTAACCTCCTTTCAACCTTATTTCCTTCCCTCCTTACTCCCTACCTACCTTCCTTCCAACAATCCTTCCTTTCTTCCTATCTCATTTCCGTCCTTCTTTAAACCCCACCTACCTTCCTTCCTTTCTACCTACCTGTCTTCCTTTCATCTATCCTTCCTTCCTTTTTCCCTTCCTAACTCCCTTATTTCCTTTATTTCTTCCTTCCATCAATCCTTCTTTCCTCCCTAAGTTCCTTCCTTCCTATAGTGTATACCTACCTGTCTTCCTCCTTCCTTCCTTCCTTCCTTCCTTTTATCCATCCTTCCTTCTTTATTTCCTTCCAACCTCATTTCCTTCCTCCCTACTGTACCTTCCTTCCTTCCTTTTTACCCGTCTTGCTTTTTTCCACCCATCATACCTTCCTTATATCCTCCCTAACAACCTTATATCCTTTATTGCTTGCTTCTATCAATCCTTCCATCCTTCCTACCAGCCTATTACCTGCCTTCCTTCCTTCCTTCCATCCGGCCTTCCTTCCTTCCTCTCCACTTTATGTACTTGATAACTGAATGTATCGTGGAGTAGAAGTTAAAGTAGTGGAAGACAAAATAAGTAAAGTGCATTTAACTCAAAAATATACTTAAGTAAAGTACTTGGTATTTAGTTACTTTCCAGCACTAGTTTTGATCTAATCGCTTTGACTCAGTAGTTAAGTGATGCCGTGTCTTGCAGGTAATAACAATGTCAACAATAATACAACTATAACGATTTCCTGACTGTGTAAACCTGTGGGAATGTGTTTATTAAATGATGGATGGACGCAGAGATGAATCATATCTTTTGTGAAGACATAGTGAGTGAGTGGATTTTTCACTGAGGCTCTGAACCCTTCCATCTCTTCTGCTCTGTTTATCAGCTACCCTCAGTGACACCGACATTCCTTTTTCAAAAGAGATCTGGGAACAAAATGCTGTCCATAAATCATTCATTGTGGAGACACATATATAGACAACACACACGCGCACACACACACCTTCTTCAACACGCTGTCTGACTCAGTCCTGCGGAGGTCCAGCGACTCATCCCCCTCTTCTCTCTCTCCATCTGAGGAGGGGAAGAAAAGAAAAGAGGAGAGGAAGGAGAAAAGGTGTTTAGATATTTTCTCCCAGCAGGCCATGTGGCTGTGGCTCAGGCATGTCTCCGGTATTGAGGTGTGTGGAAGACGCGTTGGATGGAAGCATCAGCTGAATGACAGATAATGATCAAATAAAATCATTGAATACAAGGCTCCTCTTCAAGGCACACATATAACATAACAAAAATTGCATTTTATCATCCCAATAAATAACTAACTAAAGTTTAATTAAGACTCACAGTGAGGCGTCTTTCTATTATTATTATTATTATTATGAAGAGCTATGCTTAAAAAAAAACAGATGGAGGCACAGAATGTTTAAACTTGTAAAAGCCAACTCAAGTGTGAGTGTGTGTGTGTCTTACTCTTGCTGCTGTTCATCTGGTGGCTGTCGAAGCCCCCGAAGGTCTCGGCTCTCCGGGGCAGACACACCGGCCCCACAGCGCCCCCTGTCAGGCCGACAGGAGCACTGCAGCCTGCCCCCCCCCACCCCACTGCTGACCACCGCGTGCAGGCTCTCCACTGAGACAGGGGGAAGAGCTTTTAGTTAATACCACGGTGTAGAAACAATACCTATTAGTTTATCACTGCCTTGAAATCCAATGAGTTATTAATTAATTTCACTGAAGAATATGTTGGTGTTTTCATTTATTTGATCCCTCTTAAATCTTATTTTTTTATTAATTATTTATAAGTTGGTTTTGGATTGAAGGCATATGATAAAGGATGTTTCTTTGTATTATTTATACTTTATGGAAAACATGTTTTTATTCCATCTATGGAAAAAACAAGTTTATAAAAAAACATAGCATTAAAAGATACAAAGAAAAATGAATATCCTGTGACATGTTTTTTTACCAAATAAAAGTGCATGAACATAAAATTGAAGAACCAAAACTAAAAGTATATGTAATGCAGAATGGCCATTTTCTAAATAATATTGTTTGAACAGGATTATAATTAGGGATGCACTCATTATTGAAATGTTGATGTTAGTAAAGGTATATCATAGTTGTTAGTTGGTTTTTAATTTGTATACAAATATGAACCTAAAAAATAACTAACTTGGTAAATAAATGTAGTGTAAAGTACAATATAGCTTCCAAAATGTAGTGTAGAAGAAGTATAAAGTATTCTAAACTGGAAACTTGAGCTTAAGTACAGTACTTGAGTAAATGTACCTAGTTACTTTCTGACACTGACTGCAGAGACATGGAAACATTAATGTCTCGTCTCTGGCACACGGACAACCTCCTTCAGAACCCTGCTCACCTTCTCTCAGGGCGTCCTTTATGATTGGCTCCCCCTTCGTGACATCATCAGGAGTCGCCATGAATAACATGCGCTCCCTGACCGGTGTGTGTCCATCGGGGGCGGAGCTACAGTCGCCCAGGTCTCTGAAGATATGCACCTTCTCCTCCAGCAGAGAGATGATCTGCTCGTCTTTCCTGCGCAGAAGCTCTGGAAGGAAACACAGAAGAATGAATGGATGATATTAAAGCAATAGAACAGAATGTGATCAAATACCATTGGGGGAAGGGGTACCTCTGATCTCCTTTGCTCTGTTCTCCTGCTGCTTCCTGTCTTCCTCTGTCTCACTGGGGACTCCCTCGTCCTCGTCTTTCTCCCTGTCGACACACAGAGAAGTTCAAATATTATCCAACAAATTAAATTCACTTTCTTTTTTTTTTGTCTGTTACAAAACTTGCTGATTGTCCCACACTGTGTTAATGTACACCTCTGTTACTATAAATCCCTCTGTTAATGTATATAGTTCATGACAATTGTATACAGTAAGACGCACATAAAAAACAACAATGAATCCTGGAGAGTTGGAGAATTGCTTTGCAGTAAACACAGAAAAAAGTAAGTACTAAAAAAACTCCTTTAAAGCTACAGTAACATAAGAACATTGTGTGTGTGTGTGTGTGTGTGTGTGTGTGTGTGTGTGTCCTCACATGCAGTGCATAGCGTCCTGTATGAATGCTCTCCAGGTGTTCCTCTCGTCCTTGCTGCTGGCCAACACCTCCACCATCTCCGGCCTCTCTATCCCAGCTGTGATGAGGAAGAGCCCTGCAGGAGACACGGCACCATTAACCCAGTTCACTCATTCATATCAACACACTCACAGGTTCCATGTGATCATACTGACCCCGCTCCTCGTTAGCCACCTCTCTGACGATGAGACTCTGTAGCGAGATGACTGTAGAGCGCTGGTCCTGAGGACATAGAGGCAACACATCAGAGTTAGATACTGTGTTATCTTAAACAAATAAACTTGTCCCGTATACATCCATGTCTGTTCTTTAGTTATGGTCAAATACGAAGGCTACGTAGTGTAACCCTAGTTCTACAAGCCCAGGCGAGGCCCTCAAATGGACCCTTTACAATTAAAAACACGCTGAAATGTGCATTATACTAGCCAGCCAATCGGGACGAGCCTACCTGAATCCGATTGGACCACGCAGTATATTAGTCAGGAAGCCAATGTATATTGTCTTACACCCTCTCCAGCAAGCATTATAGGAGAGATAAGGGCTTTGTGTTTATAGAACAAGGGTTATAATGCGTATCCTTGGTTCTAACTCACACAGTCTCTACCCTCTACTGGACTCTATGGCACAGTGGGTGGAGCTCGGACGAGTGTACGCCATATTGATCAGCTTTAGATTGGTCGCCATTACCCACCTACTTTTTTATAACCCAGGCTGGCAGGGCGGAGAAGTAGTAGGCCAAAGCTAACAGGATGTACAAGACTGAACTGTGTAAAACCATGGCCTAACCCTGCAGGCGTCAAAAACAGTGGGCGAATCGCTGACAAAAAAAGGACGGCTACGTTCCCACGCATTACCCAAAGAGTCCAATAAAGGGTGGAGTCGTGTGAGTTAGAACTTGCTTTGGAATGTCCCGTGATATTGAGCGTTTAGCACCAAATTGTAGTCTCAACATCCTTCTTTATGCCTTTGGGCGTTGGCTGTCACTGGCGCATCAAAATGAAGGATTGCAATGTGCTACTAACCAATGAGGCAAAGGCATATTTCTGGTCTTTTTCCTGAAGAAACACCAACACATCAGACAGGAGCATGGCCTGCACATCTGCAACACAAAGGCACAAAGATGGTTACAGCAGAGTGGACGAAAGACACTGTTTGTGGTCGAATAGGTAAAGACAAAGGAGCTGATTTCTTTGACTGTTCAACCCTCTGCTTTACAACTTTCCTCTGCAGAACAGAGCATGTGTTTGAAGCTGCTCGCAGGCTGCAGACACCGTGTACCTTTGAGTCTCCCTGCAGTGTTCTTCAGCTGCAGAGCTCCGTCATGCAGCAGCTTCCTGCCTCTCATCAGGTCCTCTCTGGCAAACATCTGGCCGCTCTTCATCCTCATGATGGACTTACTGTCAGTGCGACTGGAGACAACAGAAAACAACGACATGTTTACTTTCCAACTTCACACTAGGGATGGGTATCGTTACGGTTTTAACGGTACGACTACTTTTATACCGCTTATCGATCCGGTCTTTTAACGGTTCTCTTATCGGTTCTTTTGGAGAAAAAAACAAGGTAAGCTAACTAAACAAATTGTGAACAAAATTAGCATTGCTTTTCATTTAAATGAAATACATAATATTTCACATCAAAAGAAACAACAGTGTATTAACAAATCGTATTAAATAATCTGATGACAGAACTGTAAACAGAATAGCTGAAACTTTAACAAAATAAAGAGTAACTCTGTTACCTCTAATCATTAATAACCCATGTTTGTATCATGTAGTTAACTCTGTGTGTTGCTGCTAGCTTACATAACACCAGACGTGGAAACGTTACTCGTGGATGGGGCTACAGAGCTACTAGAAAGACAGTCGAACCCGGTGCATGCCTCCGTCTGGATGTGGAGCACTTTTGCTAAATGTTTAGACAAATTGCTCGTGTTACCGCCCTTACATGCTAAACTCTTATTGCACTTTTGGTAACTTTGTCCACATCGAGACGGCTATAGTTTAACCACACCTTGGAGCGCGTTCTCTCCGCCATCTCCTCCGTGTGTGTGTGTTGCTGCATGTAGCAGCCGCGTGTGTGTAAGGGAGCTGCCCCGCGCCCTCGCACACAGACGGGGGAGAGAGATCTCTCGTCTGGATTGGAAAGATCGAAAATACTAAAAATAACCATAGACGCATTTTGCATATTAGAAACGGAGTTGGCGACACTAAAACTGCAATATAATGTTTGTGTAGCATTAATACACATGACATATATTTTTTACATGTCTCCAGTACGGATAAAAAGACCGATAACCCGTTTAATACCGGGCCTCGGTACCCATCCCTACTTCACACTGAGTCACAAATAATTAAAAACGCCAATTTACAAGAGATCCAGCTGCTTGACTCTGGAACTCCTGTTCACATGTCCACATCCAGAAAGGCGCCATTGGGCATTCCTCATGTCGGCTATTTGATACAGTATTCAATGTTTCTTCATCCTCTTATTTTTGATTTGCAATTAATTGTGTGACTTTGTTTCAGTGTTCTTTCTTTGACCAGAAAATAGAAAAGCAACTGGAATTTTTTTCCCCTAAATGATACAATTATCAAAGGGTGTGGGCCGAATTCCACAATAACAAGTGTGCTTGAGAACTATTATCACTTTGTTCTGTTGTTAATGCTTCAAGCTTGTATTGAGAGGGTCAATTAGAAAGCAAAACCTTTCTGTTTACTGGTTTAAGAACAAAAAAACGATTTAGTTACTTTTACTTGTCTCAGAAAGAAAAACAATTGAAAGAAAGGTTACTGGATTTTCTTTCATTACTATCTCTAAAATATGCAGCAGTTGACAGGAGGAACATGTAATACAAAAACGATTTTCACTCTGAATGAATCAGATTACGATTTGTTTTAGTTTATTTGGTTGATGCTCTGGAGCTTTTGATCACATTATCTTCATAGGCCCCCACTGAACTTCAGACTATAAACTGTGTGTTAAGTATTTCTGTGGTGGGCTCTGTCAGACCCTTTGGAACAGAAATGAGTCTTGAATCAGTTTTCTAAAGTCACAGTGTGGACGGTTTACCTGTAGACTTCCTTCAGCCTCTGCTTCTTCCCGTGCTCGTTCACCTTGCTGTCCACAGCCGTGATGAGCTCCTTCACACAGCGCAGAGCTTCACACACACAGCTGTGGTCCTCATCAGAGTCTGTCAGAGCACAGAGGAACACATCGATCACACACTGAAGCAGGCAGTCACCCTGTCTCTGGGGGAATCACTGTTCCAGTGCAGTCCTTTGTATGCAGGACGTGTCTTCACTCGTACCTTTAGTGTGCTGCAGAATCCTCTGGATGAGGACGGGGTACTTGGTGATCCTCTGAGTGATCAACAGAATGCACTCTGGAATACTGAGCCTCCGCACTATGCTGCTGCTCATCGTTTTCTGCACACACACACACACAGAGGGCATTATTGTACCTTTGTATCCACGTAACACCATGCAGATGAATTACAGCCCTGTAACAACCCCTGAAATGTCCCAAAAAGACATGATATGTTTGGATTTGAGATGGGTGCAGACCTTGATGAAGCCTTGGAAGCGTTTATCTTTGGCGTGCAGGTCTTTGTAGAGATTAACCGCTTCACTGTGGCGACTGCAGAACTTCCCGTAGACTTTCTTCATACGATCAGCGCTGCAGCCTGAAAACTGGAGTGAAGAACACTTTCAGAATCCCCTCAGATGACAAATTCTCTTAATGTTCATTCACATTTCAGTGCATGATAACATGTGGCCATAACAATTCAATGTATTGATTGAATGATAGGACATTCAAACACGAGGAAGACAAAGTTCAATTGAACTAGAAGAAAATAACTTCTAACCTCTGATGCCCCCCACTGGAGAAAGGAGGCAACAGCTCATGAAGCCTCAAGTCCAACATGTGTATTATGGGGTTATTGTAGTGTGGGGGCATAATGCACAACTTCTAGAGGCTGTCAGTATCATGACAACTTACATGAAGTGGTGCAAGAATAAGTCCTATACCCAAAAATGTGTTTAAGCATTTACATTTTTGCATTTTTTCTTGTCTTATTTTAATAAGACAAGAAATAAGGTTGATAAAATGTAAGAAATGTTCTTTTTTTGTTCTAGGACATAAAAAAAAGCAAGTAAATACCCCACTGGTGAATGTCTAAAGCTTTTTTGGTGTCTTAATAAAAGACGGTTGCTAACAAGTGGCTAAACAAGACCACTAAACGTTATCAAGCTGAACATTAGCCGCCTTTAGCTTTGATGGTGACGTGTCATGAGACTGTGATGTTGATGTTAATAGTGTGACATTGTCATTTCTTCTGGCGATTGCATATACAGTATGCTTAAACTATTTTCCGTTTTATTACAATATCCAATGAGAAAATCCCTTTGCTTTTAGTAGAGGGGGCCCTTGCGATACTAACTTCCAGGTCAGCCTACAAAAATACGTCATCACTGCACCACTATATAGAACTGCTAATGTATTGTGAGATGACCAGTGATTACCAGGTGTGCACATGTGTTCCCTGAAGTAACCTTGGACCACCAGAGGAGCTTTCAGTACAGTCTGTCTCCCTCCCCATCACAAGAGTCAAGTATCAAACATTATCTCTAGAGCAGGAATAGTGTTGTTCTTCTTCTCCTCTTGCTCACCTGGTTGAGCAGCACATCCCCGATGCTGCAGATCAGGAAGTTGCTGCTGCCCTCTCCCTCAGTGGACGAAGCCTTCTTCCTCTCCAGGAGCAGGGTGAGGAAATGTGTGTGCGTTTCCAACAGGTCATCCAAAACAGGGAAAATCTACAGAGAATGATCAACAGATTTTAATTCAAGTATGTTATTGATGATATCTTATTAATGAAGTGAATTGGTTATAGCTTATGATCAGGAGCAGGGCTCCACCACTACTGAACCCACCAGCTAAGCTACCATTACCGCTCAACACATCCGACCTCCTTTGTCTCCAATGCTCCCTTTCCCTTCCACTCATCCATCCCCCATTCTACCTCATCTGTACCCACATCACTTCATCACTTCATCCCTTCATCCCTTCATCACTTCATCCCTTCATCCCTTCATCACTTCATCACTTCATCACTTCATCCCTTCATCACTTCATCACTTCATCACTTCATCACTTCATCACTTCATCACTTCATCAATTCATCACTTCATCACTTCATCACTTCATCACTTCATCACTTCATTCCTCCCTCCATTCTTTGACCCTACATATGTCCCTTCAATCCCTCCCAACATCCCTTTGCCCATTCATCCCTCCCTCCCTCCCTTCATCCCCTCAACCTTTTAATCCCTCCCACCCTTATCCCTTCCTCCCTACATCCCTTCCTTCCTCCCTATGTCACTTTATCCCTTCATCCCTTCCTCCCTTTATCCCTTCATTCCTTCCTATGTCCCTTCATCCCTCCCTCGCTACATTCTTTCATCCCTCCAACCACCCCGTGACCCATTCAACCCTTGCCTCCTTTCCCTCCCTCCCTCCCTCCCGTCATCCCCTCAACCTCATAATCCCTCCCTCCCTTATCCCTTCGCCCCTTACTCCTTACATACCCTTCACCACTCACATTAGTCAATATGTCCTGTAAATAAACATATGGTGGTGGTCCTTGCTAGTGAAACTGTGTGACACTCAGCCGATCCTCACCTTGTCCAGAGTTGTATTGTCCAGCTGCAGGTCCTTGTGCAGGCCTTTGTAGTACACCTCCGACATGATCCTCAGAGTCCTCACATGGTGGAACTCTGTCTGGTACAGCTCTGTGGAGAGAAGATCCATATTATGTACACATACATGAACGGAGCATTGACACATACAACTCTTCCTCTCTCTCTACCATAGATGACGTCTTGTTTCTTGATTTCATCTTTCTTCAACGTTTTCAAGAACTTCTTATCCATCGTTCCGCTCCAAGAATCAGCTTCTAGATCTTTGACGTCCCACTCAAATTCTCCCATCAGCTGACTGTCCATCATCTCAGTGCCTACACAAGCGCACACAAATAATAAGAAAAGAAACACTTCAGAGACACATTCTCCATTTTCTTTATTGGTTATCAGTGTGTGTGTGTGTGTGTGTGTGTGTGTGTGTGTGTGTGTGTGTGTGTGTGTGTGTGTGTGTGTACCTTCATCAGTGAGGGACTCTGTGGAGGCGTTGACTTTGCTCCCCTTATGGAGCGAGTCGGTGGACTGGGACAGAGACTTCAGGCCCTTCAGTGGAACCTCAACATCGAGCCTATAAGGGACACAACAAAACATTTAAGACTACAGCATGTGCACAGGCTGCTTCACACAGGGAACAGAGAAGGACCGACTGGGACAATACATACAATGTTTGATCGCTACAGAGGGAAGAAATGAACAAATGAGGGGACAAAACTCAGCTCTGTGCAGGGAGAAGTGGTCTTAGTGGTGACTTAAAGGAAGTCACTGAGGTAACAAGATGAGGGCTGTTCTACAGTTTGATGGAAAACCCAATACTATGTTCTTGCAGTTCAAACACAACACAACATTTAATACAAGTCCTATGATGAAATATCACATTGGGTTGTTGTTAATGTGGTATTGTTTGCGATTAATCTGAAACCCTTAACACTTTAAAAAGAACGCAAATGATTTATACTACCAAGAATGACCCAAACTTCCTCTGCTCATTTTAGCACGAATGAGGAAGCAGCACAAGAGACATGACGAAAGGCATTGTGCTGAAGCATGCGCCAGCTCCTTGGAGTTGCAGAGGTGAGATACAGTAGTAGACAGGGTCTTCACTGTAGGAACAGATCGAGCTGCAGTATGAGATGATACACCCTCACATTACACAGAGGGGGGGGGGGGATCACAGAGGCTCTCTGTGACAGCAGCTTTGTTTTGTGTCAGGAAATTATCGGACGTCATGCCAATAATTCAGAAATCACGTTATAATGAAGTTTAAAACTCCTTACCAGTTTGTCATGCATTTCTATATCTAAACCACACAATAATTGCTTTTATCTCAAAATATAAGTGAATACTAGCATTTGAAACGTTTGATTATCACAGATTACTATCCCAATGACATGCTTTTTGTATAAATTGGCAGCACTGTTACAGAGCCATGGTCAGTTGGAAATGATTATTTACGTATTGTTACGCGAATACGTAAAAACTGGTTCAAACTTTTGTTAAAATAACAACAAATCTTTACTTCAGAAATTAGAACGTAAATCTAGACAAATAATTCACAAAGAAGTTTTTCAATAAAATATTTTCTTGGAATTTACCATGTCTGGAAGTGCAGGATAGAAAAATGTACAATTTAAGGTGGCTTTTGTTTACCCTGAATTACTGTTTATTAATAGAATAATTGTGTTATTAATTCTTAAGAAAGGGTTTAATTGTGTGTGTGTGTGTGTGTGTGTGCGTGTGTGTGTGCGTGTGTGTGGGGGGGGGGGGTTCTCACCCTGCTATGTTGCTGGTGGAGATGCTCTTGGACAGGTTGCTGTGCGGGTTGAAGATGCTGTTGTGCCTCCGTGGAAACAACGTGGGGAGCTGGTCATCAGGAGTGGTTGCCGTGGACCAGCGTTCCCGTGACGAAGACGAGGATGCAGATGATATAGATGATGCTGAAGATGTAGCTGCATACAAACATCAAAGTGGACTTACTATACCAATAGTAGCGAGGAAATACAGATGTATAATGGACTGAGAAGGCTTTTTATTAACAGTTTAAGGTACTGGGCTCCTCCTAGGCTTGAAAAAAACGTACTTGACTCATGTATGATTATTTCTCTACATGTTCAACAACAGCAGTGTGTATGTGTTCTTACATTTAGTCCTCAAGCTAATAGCTGACCCAGGAGCAGCTTCTGGCACTGGGGATGGCTGCTGGGACAAACACAGGACATCATGAGGTCAACTTTTTAGAATAGTTGAAGATAATTTGTCATACAAATAATTACGATTCATTATTTCAATATCTATTCATTGATTTGACAGTCTGTATCTTTTCTTCCGCTGATGAGTTCATGGATACTTTTAGAGAAGAAGCCGGTGAGTATCAGACCTACCTTTGTTCTGCTCTTTGTGCAGACAGACAGACTCTCTCTGCAGCACTTATGGACATGGGCTCCACAGTCTGTGAACAAGATCACATCACACATTTTATAAAACATATATACACCAACCCTAATGTTTTATTCATGGCCTGTGATGATCTGCTGCTGTTGTGCTTTTAAAAAGACAGACATACACTACAGTAAGTAACATTAGATAGGGCAGGATGTCCAGCAGAGCTGAACACTATACAATTAAGCTGGATATAAATGTACAAGGCAGAAGAAGTTATTCTATTTTTTCAGAAACACTGTAGGTCAGAAGGTGGCTGTCAATTTAGATCATTTGTGACAAAGCCGCCAGAGGGAGAAAAATAACACTGGGCAAACTTTCTCATCTTACATCCAAGTTTCCAACAAGATTCTACAGTTGAAAAGTACACTCAAGTCTGTTTCTGACAACCTTTCAAAGTTAAGAAGGACACTCAAGTCTGTTTCTGATCAATAATGTACAGTAAAACTGTAGACTAAAAGATGTTTCTGACAACATATAGGCAGTAATTGCATCCTGATAAATATTGATCATTTCTGCCGCCTAAAAGCTTCAAATAAGTATCATTTCAAAGCATGAGTGTGGTTAGTCTTTATGTTTGATCACTTTAGCTGAGGAGCAGTGACATCATAATGAACGAATCCCAGATAGTCAAAGAGTTGCAAAACGTTCACATCTATTTTTAGAGGGTTGACAAGAGAAGGTGGAAAAGGACTGGAATCATACATTAGTAACGTTTTCTTCACAGTCATTTTGATATTATAACACTTAGAAAAAGGACTGAATGTTTACATTAACATGCAACCTAATGTCTAATGTCAAAAAGAAGTTAAAGTTTAGTAACACAGAAAGTTAGTCCTATAACTAAAGTGAGTATTTTAACATAATGTCCTTTAAACTAACAGTATGTATTAAATGTATGTCTATAGTGTGTGTTACATAAGTTAATATGGCATATGAATAAAACTACATTTGGACATCAGGTTAAAAAACTCTTCAAAAGTAATTTACAGTAAAAGGAAAGAGCCTGTTTGAGTTCAAACATGATAACGTGTTCAAAGTTATTTAGGATGTCTGGTTACGTTAATGTATGCTCACTATCCCCAATAATAAAACATAAATATGATCCTGAAGGTAGACCAACATCACAATGATTCAGAAAGGATCGCATGTCAGCAGCTTCTGCTTTCAGTTTGGAAATGAATTTGTTCTAAGTAATGCGACCGCTGATGATAGTGAATGTGGATCTGTACCGTGAGAAGAGAAGGGTTAGAGTGAAGCTACCAAGGTAACAAGAGGAAGCAGGACCTGTCTGCTGCATTCGACACGGTGAATCATCAGATCCTCCTTCGCACTCTCCAAGAACTTGGAGTTTCAGGCTCTGCACTTTCCCTCATCACCTCATACCTCAAAGACCGCACCTACAGGGTTACTTGGAGAGGGTCGGAGTCCGACCCTTGTCAATTAACTACAGGGGTCCCTCAGGGCTCTGTTCTTGGTCCCCTCCTCTTCTCCTTGTACACAAACTCGCTCGGATCAGTCATTAGCCCGCATGGTTTTTCATACCACTGCTACGCTGACGACACCCAATTAATTCTGTCCTTTCCCCGCTCAGAGACCCAGGTCGTCGCACGCATCTCTGCTTGTCTAGCTGACCTCTCTCAGTGGATGTCTGATCACCACCTCAAGCTCAACCTTGACAAGACTGAACTGCTTTTCCTTCTGGGAAAAGATTGTCCCACTCTTGACCTAACAATCAACATCGGCACCTCTGTTGTTTCCCCGACTCAGACTGCAAGGAATCTGGGTGTGACCCTAGATAACAACCTGTCCTTCACTGCAAACATAGCTGCTACAACCCGCTGCTGCAGATACACGCTTTACAACATCAGGAAGATACGTCCCCAGCTGACCCAGAAAGCGACGCAGGTTCTGGTCCAGGCTCTCGCCATCTCACGCCTAGACTACTGCAACTCCCTCCTGGCTGGTCTACCTGCATGTGCCATCCGACCTCTGCAGCTCATCCAGAATGCAGCGGCTCGTCTGGTCTTCAACCTTCCTAAATTCTCCCACACCACTCCGCTCCTACGCTCCCTTCACTGGCTTCCGGTAACTGCTAGAATCCACTTCAAGACAATGGTACTTGCGTACCATGCTGCGAATGGATCTGGCCCTTCCTACATCCAGGACATGGTTAAACCGTACACCCCGGCACGTGCACTCCACTCTGCATCAACCAAACAGCTCGCTGCACCCTCGCATGCGAAGGGGACCCAAGTTCCCATCAGCAAAAACACGTGGGTTTGCTATCCTGGCTCCTAAATGGTGGAATGAGCTCCCCATTGATATCAGGACGGCAGATAGCTTACACACCTTCCGGCGCAAACTGAAAACTCATCTCTTTCGACTCTACTTCGAGCGATAGAACTATTAACAAAGCACTTATATACTAATAAAGGACTGGCTTATCTAAAGCCAGTTGAGTAGCACTTGAAATGTTTTTGCTCTATGAAGCCTGATGTACTTATATGATTCTTTTTTCTTCAAGTTTGTATTTTGTTGGTCGAACGCACTTATTGTAAGTCGCTTTGGATAAAAGCGTCAGCTAAATGCAATGTAAAGAGGAGGCCACAGAGGAGGAATCAAGAGAGTTAGGCAGGAGAGAGATGGAGATAAGATGATATTTGGAAGGGAAGAGGAAGGAGGGAGAGGAGGGGTCTTACTGTTGCACAGGAAGGTGTCTTTGCTGTGCAGAGGTTTGGAGCAGTGCAGACAGGAAGAGGGGGCACAGGGGCTGACGGGGATGAAGAGGTGACCGTTAGTGCTCTTCTTCTCTTTCTCCTTACTCTCCTTCTCTCCTTTCTTCTCCTTCTCCTGGAAGCAATGAAACAGATGGATGTTCATACAGAGATCAACAGGTTCTGTCCTATTGATTTCAGCAAGTCATAACGCCTCAGTAATTCACAACACAACATATATAATAATATACTAACATACCCAGAGATACAACTCTATGTATTTTATTATAAACTGTATTATTGCCCAGCTGTAATACTCTATAACTGTATGTGCATAAGGGAAGGAAAGATGGCCGACCTCTCCCATCCTGAATATAAAGAGACAGACAGATTTAGCTTACCCTATCAGGTCTGATTTCTCCTCTCCACCTCACAGAGCGATTAAACCTGTCACTCAGCATGACTAACTGCCTACTCTCTCCTGCCTGCCTGCCTCCTCTTTAATGCTCAGTGTGATTCCTTCTTGATAAAGTCATTGTGTACAAGCGGCTGCTGTCTGAATGCTTTTAAATCAGGAAGGAAGCTCACACCCACACCCACACACCACACCCACACACACACACACACACACACACCCACACCCACACCCACACCCACACCCACACACACACACACACACACACACACACACACACACACACACACACACACACACACACACACACACACACACACACACACACACACACACACCAAGTTCCCCTTGTGCAGGATCCTTGTCATCACATCAGCCCACTGTAAAAAAGTATCTAATGACAAAAACGTTATGATACGTCATTAGATGTATTATTATTTTAGTCCAGACACTTTTTGTTTTATTCTTTAAATGAGTTTTAACATGTTTTTAGCTTGCTTAATATTCTCTTCTCATTTACTGATTTGAATATTTACTTTCACTTCAGTTTGACTTAGTTTCACTTCTTGCTTTAGTCTGCTGGGAGGGTTTCAATATTATTTCATGAGATTCATTTAAATATACTGTATATATATTTAAATGGCTGATGACCGGGTTGCATGGTGTGATGAACTGCATGTACTGACACATAGGTCTCTTTAAAAGAATGATGATGCTACATTGTTGTGTTGTGTGCACAGGAGGTCACATGGTCAGGCAGGTAGCTCACTGATTGGACCATTTTGGTAACCAAGCATCCTGACCCAAGATGCTTTGTTAGCTAACATGGTTTAGTGGTACACTGGTGAAATGATCCCACTTTAATAAAGCTAGGAAATATTTCTAACTTCATTCAGATTTTTCATTAGAATGAAAGTGTGTTCAAATGTATACTGTATATTTTATATTGTCTTATCTATACATAAGCTATACATATTTATCTTTCTACTGTAAATATTAATATAATTAAGGTTTATGTGTATTTATTATTTTTATATATAACTTATGTGCAGTGTCTTTTAAAAATGCTGCCGTAACAAAACCATTTCCATATTTGGGATCAATAAAGCACATTAAATCTAATCTAATCTATTCTTAGATATAATACAATATCATATAATATTATATAATTCATGAGAGGTCATTGTATGAATTAAGTTGAATTCCAGAAAACAACGCAGGTTCTGGTCCAGGCTCTCGTCATCTCACGCCTAGACTACTGCAACTCCCTCCTGGCTGGTCTACCTGCATGTGCCATCCGACCTCTGCAGCTCATCCAGAATGCAGCAGCTCATCTGGTCTTCAACCTTCCTAAATTTTCCCACACTACTCCGCTCCTCCGCTCCCTTCACTGGCTTCCGGTAACTGCTAGAATCCACTTCAAGACAATGGTACTTGCTTACCATGCTGCGAATGGATCTGGCCCTTCCTACATCCAGGACATGGTTAAACCGTACACCCCAGCACGTGCACTACGCTCTGCATCAGCCAAACAGCTCGCTGCACCCTCGCTGCGAACGGGACCCAAGTTCCCATAAGCAAAAACACGTGGGTTTGCTATCCTGGCTCCAAGATGGTGGAATGAGCTCCCCATTGACATCAGGACAGCAGATAGCTTGCACATCTTCCGGCGCAGACTGAAAACTCATCTCTTTCGACTCCACTTCGAGCGATATAATTACTAACAAATCATTTCTAAGCAAAGCACTTATATACTAATAAAGGACTGGCTTATCTAAAGCCAGTTGAGTAGCACTTGAAATGTTTGGCTCTATGAAACCTAATGTACTTATATGATTCTGTTTTCTTCTAGATTGTATCTTGTTGGTCGAACGCACTTATTGTAAGTCGCTTTGGATAAAAGCGTCAGCTAAATGCAATGTAATGTAATGAAAAAGAAAATCTTTATTTTAATGGTGTGTGTGTGTATCACATACATAGTGATGAAGATGTTAAGTCCCTATGGATAGACGCGGCAGCTAAATGACATGTGATGTCCCTTCATATCATCACAGCTGTAGTGTGAATAGTGTACGTGCACGGTCAAACATGTGCACGTGTGCGCCCCCCCCCGCAGTGACTCCATGTCCTCACCTTCCCTTTCTTGCTCATCTTGCTGCGGAGGTAGCTGAATGTGCGGCTGATTTTAGGGCCTCCTTTCCCCTCAAAGTCGCTGCGCAGGGGCCCTGGCTCGTCCTCTGAAATACTGACACACACACACACATTTAATAAACATACCAGCAATTGAATTAATCACTTAATCTAATTTAATACTTTCTGCTTAACCAACATACAGCAATCTCTCTCAGTGAGGCAGCAGTTTTGTATATCAGAATCAGAATCCCTTTCTTAGTCCCACGGAGGGGAAATGTGCGTAGTTACAGCAGGAAAAGAGCCACAGACAGCTTAATGTTACATAATAAATATGTGACATGCATTAAAAAAAAAGTACTAAGTTATGATATAATAACAAATATATAATAAAAAATAAAAAGTTACATAATAAAAAAAAACACATCCTGTAACAGTTCTTAGGATTTAGCAGCCAGGTGTATGTTACACAGTTATTAACGGCATCTATATATATTGCACATCTAGCACATATTGCACATAGGTGGTTGGTATTTAGCAGCAAGGGGTGATATAGTCTGTGTTGTGGTGTGTGTGTGTGTGTGGGGGGGGGGGGTTTAGATTTACAGTAATTATATTGTGTTTAAATTGTGTTATTGCACAATAATATGGGTTTCGGCATGCCATGCTTATGTAACACTATCGACTAGAGATCTATTACTGATGAGATGGAAATCATCAACACTGCCTACCCAAACTTTGTAGACAAAACACACTTTCAATCATTTACAGCTCGAAAACTGACATATACATTGCATTGCAAGGCTCTTCTAAAAAGCCTAAAAAGATGTTGGGTCTGTGTAAAAAAAATCACCTTCCAATATATATCACAAAATACAATCTACATGTCTCTCTTTAATTGACTTTTTGTGTTATTTTTGGTATTGTATTGAACTACTAGAACATGAAACTGTCACCCACACCACTTTTTCAGTTCTGCCAATTTGTCCACAGCACATTTTTAAACAAAGGTCATTTAAAAGGTTAGCTTTAAAGCTTTCAAATAGTGTGAAAGCATCACTTTTTTCATCAACAATCGGATCATTTGAGCGTTATTACCTGTACTCCAGTGAGCCGGAGTTGGGGCAGAAAGAGCTCCCGCCTACAGGAAGCAGAGAGGGACACACATGTGATCAACACAGCTGCCAATCCTTACACTGTACCAGGAATACATATCTTATATCCTTTAATCGTATAAATGTATTTAAGTTATTTAGTGTAGGGGAAGTTCTGGTGGGGGTGTGTGGTTTGAGGAACCAGGGAGGTCTGATCCAGGAAGTCCAGTCAGAGTTACAGATGAACCTGTTTTTAGCTTATGATAGAGAGTTTATGACACTAACAGACAGGGTTTACTACTCTGGAGGATTTTTATGAAGGCAATTATCTCTTGATTTGTCAAAAAGAGCAACAGGTAAACAGTAGTAATAAAGTGCCTATAACACAAGTTGAGTTATTTCACAAGTGGATTATTTGTGTTGTTGAACAGACTCATGTTAGTGAATCATAAAGCTTCACATTTTTCCTTTTCACATATCAAATATATCAGCTCTGAAGAGAAAAGGTGAATAAGAATTGCAAAAACACCAGGCGACTAAATATAAAATATCTTCTTCATCGAGGACCTGGAATTTATTCTAGCCCAAGAATGAATGGTAAAAATGTAAGTTGCAAAGGCTCCTTCGACAACAAATGGTGTATTTGATGTACATGTATTGGTCAGCAGAACAATTTCCACCTAAAAACACCCCTTAATGAATTTTTGACTATAATTTAGGCTATAAACAGACTTCATGACGTCGCCAGGTTTGCGTCAACACAACACTTAGCTAAAGGCGGCTAATGTTGGAATGTTGGATGATGGTGACGTTTAGGATTCTCAATGTGAGCAACCGCCATTTTTATGACACATAAAAGCTTTGGACATACACCAGTGGGGTGTTAACTGATGTATTTCATGTGGTGGAAAAAATATCTCTTCAGCTTGTGTTAACCACAGACCTTGTTTCAGGCATCTAACCAAAAACCCTGTTCAAAGAAAATTTGACTTCGAGACATGGGAAACCGTCAATGCTAAAACGCTAACTCATTTCCAGGTTTTAGGACTCATTCCTGCATCGCTTTATGGTGGTCTCTGCGTTGAACAGATCTGATACTGACCCTTATGGTAACTCGCTGGAACAGCAAGTGTACCCTGGTTCTTTGAAGCGGCAGTGATTCATTTGAATGCATTACCATCTAAATGAAAAGGAGTTTTGATACCAGTCACCTTAACATAACTAAAGGCAGTTAGAAGGTGTGTGAGACAGGTCAAATGGACAGAGGAGACACTCCTGTACTCGACAGTCATACAAACACTGATGCTTTTCGTGCGAGCTGTAAAAGGACGATGGACTACAGGAAGCAGTGTCTCTTCTATCCATCTGATGGTTCCAGGGGGGTTGGGCATGTTTCAGTGAGTTACAGGTGAAACCTCCAGGGGGAACACAGGACTACAGCCACAGTCATCATACTTACTCCCTCCCTCCTCCTCCTCCTCATCACTGGAGGCTGAGCCAATAGAAAACAGGCGTCTATTTTTGTGGAGGAGCGGGGAGATACTGAGGGAAAAGCTGATTGGTCGCTTTGATGGAGGGAATCCTCTCACTAAAGGGTATGATGGGACGCAGTGGGGGGGGGGGGCGAGAGAACAAACTTATTGCACAGGATGGAGAGAACAACATGGACAGGATGTAGGGAGGAGCGCACACTCACCATCTAGCTCACGCTGACTGATGGTAACCATGGAGATGGATTTGGTGAGGGTTGGTGGCGGGAACATGACAGGACAGCTGTTGGTCACTGACAGCGCCTGATGGGAGGGCTGAGGAACACACACAATATTTAATATGAATTATCACGATGGATCCTTTCATTTAAACTGTGACCTGATACACACTGCTGTGCTCATATTATAAATAGTTGTCTTTTCATAAAACTTTATATAACTAAATAAAATAAGGAGGAGGAACTGCCACTATCATTCTATTCCTTTCAGAATAAAATCTCACACATTTAGCGAAACATAAGGATATGCAAATATTTTCTTGATACTGACGATATTGAATAAATTCCTAATCTGGAAAATTATTGTTAACCTTTACAGTTCATACTTTATGGAACCCACACAGATATACAAAGGCACAGACACACAGAAAAACACACACATACACAGACACACACACACAAATATAGAAAGGAACACACACAAACAAACACAAATGCACACAAAAGAACACACACAGACAAACACATACGCAGTAACTCACACACATACACAGGCAGTCACACAAACACTCTTACATAAACACAAATAGTATGTTTTTTCAATTTTCTAATCAGTTATTATATTTAAAATAAAATAAATTGAAAGATATACATGCTGGTCTGTTTAATGTTGCAAAAGAGTGATTATTGCCAACTTTGAAAGAATTCCCAAAAAGGGTCAACCATTACCCGCTCTGGATATCTGGATATGGTCATTTTGTTTATAAATCTTAAATGAATGATTATTCAGAGTTCTTAAATCATAGTCTCTCACACATACAAACACATAGACACACACACACACACACACACACACACACACACACACACACACACACACACACACACACACACACACACACACACACACACACACACACACACACACACACACACACACACACACACACACACCACACACACACACACACACACACCTGCAGGTGCTCTCCTTCCTGCTCCTCCTCAGTGAGGGACAGCAGGGAGCCTCTTCTCTCCTGCAGGTCCACTCTCACACTCCTCCCTGCAGCCCCCCCCTGCTGCTCACTGAGGGGGGGGCACTGAGCTGGCAGCGCTTCCCTCTCCCCCTCCAGACCCTCCAGGCTGTAGCTGGGGGAGAACAGAACAACACATCATGTTACTAACTGTCCTCTGACACGAGGCGGTGCAGTGCACGGTTTACATTCTAGTTAATGCTCCGAGGGGGGGCTTTATCCTTAAAGACCCCTGCTGTTTACCTTCTGCTGTCTATTTGCTCCTGATCAGGGCGACGCAGGTTGGATGGACACCAACTGATACTGCGGGGATGGGAAGATGGTGGAGGATAGAAGATGTCAGAAGAAGAGATGATTAGTGGATAAAATGATGTGTAAATGAAGTTAATGATGGTGTTATCATGATGACAGACATGTGGCTGTGGGTGGATGTGGCTCAGGGGATAAATGGGCATTTACCAGTCAGTGTCCTTGAGCAAGCTACTTAATCCCAAATGTCTATGGTATTGAATTGTTTTTCATTTGCTTCGGATAAAAGAGTCAACTAAATGACAGATGATGTAGAAATACTGAGAGACACTTTGAGTCTGAGAGGCTGTTTGCATCTCAACTCTTTGTACACATTTTTGTAATGGGGTCATTTCAATTTGTCAAATCAAATTGTGTAAAAAGAGTGAGTTCTTTACTACATGTATTAATATGAATAAGAATAATAGCTTAATAGAAATATACTGTATACGCATCATTTAAATATCTATATATCTATATACAGGGGCGGAGTGGCCATCGGGACGAATCCCGATGGGCCGGTACTGAAGTGGGCTAAGTCACTAGCACCCCGTCCCCGTCGACAATTTACTAGCGGTATTTACTTGCGGTACCGAAGTGGGCCGGTCGAGAGTCCCGGGCTGATTTGTAGTCCCAGTCCGCCCCTGCCTATATATATCAATGAAGCTCCCTCAGTCCATAATGGGGAGCTAGCTCTGTTCTACCATCAATTACTTCTGTATGTGAAAGTAAATATCATAATACAATCATTTCTACATGTTTTTCTTCTGGAGTCTCCACCGGGTGTTTGAGTTGCTCTGGTCATTCATGTGAGCCTGAAAGAAGCCTTCAGTAACAGCAGCAGTTGGAGCTGTGTTTCCTTAACAGCAAACAGCAGCAGTGAAGAGCAGAATGTGAGAGGGAGGGGACGTACCTTCTCCTGTGGAGGGGGGGCTTGGCTCTCTGCATCTCCCCCGAGAGGCTCTTCATGGAGCTGGAAGAAGGACAGATGGACTGTTAGTGCAGACAGAGGATACACTGAAAGAATGGAGCTGAAGCCAGACTATGACAGAAAGCGCTATTTTTAGATCTCATTAATGCACTGAACTAGCTAGCCTTGGTTTGTGTTGGTATTTTCTTTACATGCAATATGCTCATGTTAAAACCATGAACACCTTTCTCCATCGCAGAAACATACATTATTGGATGTGATCACACGTGTTGTCATGTAGTGACAGGATGCAGTATGAACATGAGGTTGATGACAGGACATAATTCAGAAAGAGAAGATGTGAGAAGTCCATTCTATGTGTTTTTTATGGTATTTGATGGTTTCTAAATATATTGTTGATTTAAATCTCATTTGACAGAGAATTGAGACAGTCCTGATACTATGTGTTGTGTGATGACTTGTTTAAGATGCTTTATATCGACAGTCGCTTACAACACATACACAATCATTTCAAAACCTTTCAACTCCTTTTCATAGTTATTAATGTAATAATTGATCAAAGTTCCTTATTAATAGTTCACGGCTACTTATTTTTAGCCATGCATGTGTATTTATATGTCATTATTTTGTATTACTAATTTGTGCTTTTCTCTATATGTTAGCTTTCTATTTATTATTGCCTTTTATCTGTTATGTCACTCAAATATTTGATAAGACTATTTTATGAGGTTACACAGATGATATGACACAAAGGTGGTGCCCCCATTGAAGATGTAATGATAACTTAAAGGGGACCTATCATGCCAAATGCACTTTTGTATGTCTTTTATACATGAATATGTGTCCCCGGTGAGTCAGGGAACTCACCAAGTGTCAGAAAACACAACCCCCTCTCTTTTCCTCCATACCCAAATCTCTAAAAATGGGGCTGCAACGGATCTGATACAGACTGATACAGATTTGAAATTCTCTGACGTCAGGAACGAGGAGCTCCGCCTATATGGCCAACTCTCCACCTATCAGGGGAATGGGGGGTTGCCGTGGCATGGTATGGTATGGTAGCATGGTAACATGACGCTCGTGCCTCGCCACCCTCCTTTGCAGGGGGGCGTGGTCAGCTGCAGCTCATTTGCCACAATCAGCCCTTTCAAAAACAGTGCTGGAATACAGCAAATAGAGCGAAATGAGGCATGGCTGAAATGCATGATCTGTTTGGTATTTTGAAAAAAAAACTTCACAGACATGTTTTATATAGGTATGGCCCTACAATATATCATTCAAATATAGCATGATAGGTCCACTTTAATTATTCAAAACATGTGAAATAACCCAGGAAGTCTTCAGTATGCTGAAGGCCAGACTCAGTTAAACCCAGTACCTGCGCTGTGTCAGGTCCATGTCTGCGGGAGGGTTGTTCCGGGCCGGCTCCCAGCTGTGGCGTCTCAGCGGAGACAGGGAGCGGGCGGAGGCTCTGGAGATGGCAGAGTACACTGGACTTTCTGAGACCTGGTCCTTTTTCTCTTCTTCCTCTTCTTCTGGTCCTTTTTCAACCATTCCTCCTCCTGTGATTCATCACAGAAACACAAAACTATTATCCACTGTGACTCTTTTGGACAATAGTTTTTTAGGATTACGTTTGGGCCATCTTTGTCTTAGTGGATGGTGAAGGAATGAGTCCTTAAACACAGAAATTAGACAGCATTTTTCCACTTCAGCTTCCTCGTCCCGGAATCAATAGTTTTCATACATGTTTTTGGTTGGATGCCTGAAATATGCTAGGAACATCAGTGACTAAACTTTATTCCTACCAATAAGTAGAATACGTTTTTGGGCAAAGATGCAAAGTATACTTGGTAAAATAGACATAAACAAAGTATGTATACTATGTATAAATACAGTATTTTGTGCTCTAAACTCAGTCTGAGGACTCAAGATACAGTAGCTTTTGGTTCCTGTAGCTGGTGACCCCATGATTTTAGGGTCCTTAGAGTTAACCTGAAGGATTCTCAGTTAGCATACAGCGGCTGGACTGCTAGCTAAATATGAGCTAAATATGACCTACAAGCATTCAGCATTAAAACTGAACACTGATTCCTGCTGTTGGGGTGAAAGTGTTAAGTTTTATAACCCTTATATGTTTAACTCTAACCCTATAAATAAACATTAATAAATTCCTTTACAAAAGAAAACAGCTGTTCCTAGAAATCGTAGAGGAACTTACCTCGGTCCTCTGTTTCTGACTTCCAAGACAGCCTGGAGCTGCGGGGGGCCACGGCGTCAGGTCTGCCCCCTGACAGAGCCCCCTCACTGGGGCTGAAGATATCCTGTGTCAAGGCATCATGTGTGGAGGACCGCGAGACACGCATCCCTCTGTCCCAGTGTCCAACACGGGGGGGAGGGTCTTTAGGCTGCAGAGGACGAGAGGACATCAGAGATAAATACTATATCCATCATTCAGAAACACATTCATGCCAGTGAAACTTCACAACGTTGTGCTGATTGAGAACTTTCCACTACTTCAAATATTTAAAAAGAGAAATAATTGGTTCCAAGGTTTTTTCTTTTGGAATTTTCAAAGAGAAGCATAAATAAAGTAAAAATTAGTTAATACTTATAGTCAGCAGCTTACTTTACATCAAAACATGTTTAGCACTGTTTTGATGTAACTGCTCATCTACAACAGATGTTATCAAGCCTTCCATTAGAAAAGATGTCTTACATATGAAAGGCTAGACAGCATTTCATTTAGAGTATATGCAGACCCCTATTCAATTATGTTAAAAATGTTGATTAAATATATGATAAACGGTCAACAAATTGCAGTACAATGCAGTTTAAGAGCTTTATGACTTGTACGGACAGTAATTTTTTAGAAACATGTAACATTTTGAACCTTTAAGAATTCATATATTCTCCTGCTTACTAGATCATGTGCTATACAGATGAAGCATGAAAGATTGTATTTGAGCTTGTTTTATGTTTTTTATTTTTAACCTTGTTTTTTTTTTTTTCGCTTTTTGTGTGACTGAATACAGAATACTTCTGTAAAAAATAAAAATGTTAGATTTTTTTTAAAATAACAAAAAATAAGGAAATGCCATTCAAATCACATTTGATCTCTCTATGCTTGTGAGGACATGGTGTGATTGGACTTGAGGCTCCACACATACACTCCCACCCCTACAACCCTCATGTTGTCCAAATCCCATCATTTCTTTTTAAACTTGAGTGTTGGAGTCAGATTTCAAAGGATCCTGTAAAACCAGGTTGTGGGAGAAAGAGCAGCCACATGTAGGATTATGAGTGAGTGTAAAAGGACTCTTCCAGAACAAGTGACTCACACCGAGCTTCACTGATCCTACTCGCATGTTATAGCATGCACACGTTTAACAGCTTAATGAATGTGGCAATCATCAATGGAAATGTTATTACTGTTGATCCTTGACAGTAGAAGGACTACGTGTCCTGTTGGAGGCGGGGCCCTGTTCACTTCTATGAATGTTTCTCAGTGGCACATGAAGCCGAAATGGCCTCACTCAAGAATAAAAATACCAAAACCTTTTGCAGATCTTCTGGCGATCTTCCGCATCTGTCGGGCCCATAGAGCATGCCCACTTGAGTTTTCCTTAAGCCCCCGCCTCTAATGTGTCACAGCCACACGAGAAAGTAACCCGTTATCCCGACTTATTTTTTATTTTTTTTGGACCTAGTGGCCATCGGGATTCGTCCCGAATGTCCCGATGGCCAGTCCGCCACTGGCTCTGTGTGTATGTGTTCTGAGTGTTTGTTTCCCTATAAAACAGCTGCGGGGTTTTTTTGTTGAGAAAGTTACCGGTGCGCATTTCATTGCAGACTGTTATGTTTACGTGTGGAAATGACAGTGCATACATTATTTGAGGGGGGGTGGGAGCTAGTGAATTGTCAACGGGGGGAGGGGTGTGAGTGAACTGTCAACGTGGGGGGAGCCTCGCTGCGGGGAAACGGTGGACCTCTGTCGCCTGTCAGCGCAACTTCAATGATGCCGTTTAAAAACATAAAAATGTAAGGGCGGTGCCGGCCGTCAGCGAACTGAGCCGGCCCTTGACGACCGGCCGTTCTGTGATTCTACAGATGGCCAGTCCCCCCCCACACACACACACACACACACACACACACACACACACACACACACACACACACACACACACCACACACACACACACACACACACACACACACACACACACACACACACACACACACACACACACACACACACACAACACACACACACACACACACACACACACACACACACACACACACACACACACACACACACACCAAACTGCCCGATTACTCCCCCTTTTATTAGTTTTATGAAGGTGCATGATGTGAGTCTGTTTGTGCTCTGCTCAGCTCCGCTCTGTGTGTTTGTTTCCCTTTAAACCAGCTGCGGGCAGCAGGTACTCTGGCTTTGCTCCGAGAACGTTTTCCTTTTAACTGTACCAAAGGTACTGAACTTGGGAAAAGAGCGTTCAGTTACGCTGCCCCTCAAGCTTGGAACCTGCTTCAAACTGAGCTGAAACTCAGAGAGCTGGTCTCATTAGAAACACTCAAAGCAACTTTAACTGACCTTGAAGCAGGCCGCTGTGTCTGTAAATGCTTTGGCTAAACTTGGTGTATGACTGTGTTGTGATTGTGTGTTTTTTAATTGTTTGTAACTGTAAAACTGTCTGAAACTGTGCTGTTACCATTCTTGGGCCAGGACTCTCTTGAAAAAGAGGTTTTTAATCTCAATGAGACCTATCCTGGTTAAATAAAGGTAAAATAAAATAAATAAAAACAAAAACTCTGAGAGTCACGGACATTCATAGATCAAAGCAGACTGGTTTACAGACTCTCCTGTTTTGCCAATCCGGTGCTTAAACAAATAGCTCTACACCCCTGGCCGAAATGTCCATACAATTAAGTTCGAAATATATCTCAAATAATGTATGCACTGTCATTTCCCCACGTAAACATAACAGTCTGCAATGAAATGGTTGTCTCCTGTGTGCTCCACTTCCTCCTTCGCGCACCGGTAACTTTCAAAAAAAAAAAAAAAAAAAGTACTAGTCTGACTTTTCTCTCTCTTTATTCCCATGTCTCTTTAGGGGCTCCATACTTTCCCAATGTAAGTCAATGGGGAAAGTATTTTTAGGTCCAATGACATCACAGACTGACACTGAAGTTGCCATTAATGGCCACTACGAAAAAATATACTTCAATGCCTGGCTCTCGTCCTGGGGGCATGGTTCTTTTCTTCCACGAATGACATGTGGAAAAGTCAGTCAGCTGCTTTTCTCTGGTTCCTGCCAAGCTGCACACTGGGAAGTGTTTCCTGTCTGTTGCATCAGAAACCACGGGTTTCTCATCCTGGTTCATTTTAGAAGAGTGCAGCAAAGTACAGAGCTGCAGCAACACTGTTATTTTTCAAAACCCTGTGTCTTTAAGTTTAACAGGTGTGTGTGTGTGTGTTTCATACCCTTTTAAAAATGCTGTCATCCAATGCTGCACTGAATTTCCCACCGTCTTCGTCTTCCTGCAGCAGACACTGCGACACGCGCTGCCCTTTTTCTGGATGCAGGTCTGGAAATAAGACAAGGAGGAGGAGACAGAAACACGAGGCTGGCTCAGTGATCGAGGTAATTAAATGAAAGATTGTTCTTTAGTAGAATATTTGGTGCCATGTCTGAGCAAGTAGCTTATTGCAGCGCTGGGTGCAATGCCCCAGGACAGGAAGTTGACCTCATATGAGCTAAAGCACAGAGAAGTGTGTATGTGAGACAGTGTCTGTTTCATGATTACCTCATACTGTCATGCTATAACAACATCATTACAACTATTACTGCTAGGCAATAAACCAAACAAGAAATAATCAGCGTCTACAATTTGCATGAACATTTTGTTGTTGTTAGTCTGTCTTTCCGTCTGAGCATGACCTAAAGGGAAATTGTGCTTTTTACGTAGGCTAGGTTTGAAGATAAATGGTGCCTGAAATGCAGTGATTGTCAGCTTTTAATTGCTTTAATAATAATTGAATGGAAAGTAAGGAAGCTGTCCTCTCGGTGCATTAAGTGTTTACCTGTGCATGTTGACACTGTGCTGGGTTCAGGGCAGAACACATCTCTCTCCCTCTGGATCTATGAGAGAAAAGAGAAATTGAAGAAGACAAGCATAATTTCTCTGATGAACACAACTAGTATACATACACATTTGAGTCATTTCACTGTTCAGAGAACTTGATATGTTTCCAATGGGTTCCTTATAGCCTCCACTGGTTCACTGCAGAGTATTCTATGGCAGTTAAAGGAACCAATTAACTTTTCCAGTCTTAGTGACCCCTCAAAGTGCTTCACATGTCATCATAAACCCATTCACACACATTCATTAAAATGTCATGTAAACTAACCTACACAAACCATTGGCCATTCCACACACCAATCAACCCAAGCTAACGATCCACACTAACCGATACACGCTCACAATACAAGCTCATAATACACCATTTCCAATCCACGCTCACCGATACACACTAATATATACACACACATGATATAGCTTAGTGAAACGTGCTCACGATAAACGCTCACAAAAAAGCTAACCCAACCACAAAAATGATAAACACTAACCGATCCACTGTCATGATACAAGCTCATGATATAGCTAACCGATACACACACGCAATACACACTAACTGATACACTGTCACGATACACACTAACAATACAGGCTCACAATACACACTGATGCACACTTACTGATACCAATCAACTATACATGTCATAAGCAAAGGACTGTTCCACCCCTGCAACCAAACACAGCCAGTTCAGTGTAATGTCGGAGGGGCGTAGGGGGGCTTCTCTACAACACGTCTGTGTTTTTGTATAACACACACACAAAGCACATCTACTCAGACACAATCCAAAACAGCATTGTGCAGTATCTGATTTGAGTAGCAAAATAACAGTTTTCTTCAGTATCGCCCTCCACCCCTTAGAAGCGAACACATTAAAGATTAGTCTAGTTACAGGGCATATGGAGGAGGTTGAAAACCACACACAAGATCTTTCCTTTGGGCTTAATGTTGTATACAATTAAGTATTTTACGGATGAGACAGAGGCTGATTGAAATATATCCAATGCTGGATTTTAACAACCTGACAGGAATATCAATTCCCCCAATGGTCTGTTGTGTAACTTCTGTAGGCCGAGCCATCAGAATGACCTCATATTTAGCTGCGATTGTTGGTCACTAAAGCCAATGAGTCCTTTGTCCCCTCGTCCACTTGTCTCAATGGATCCCTTGTTCCATGTTGCCTTCTCTGTCTATTATCAACATCCTGCAGAAGAAGAGAGATCTGCACAACAGGCTGCATTTATCCATCCATACCAGAGTTGCATATGTTTGGTGTGAAGAGAGGAGAAAACTGGGGCTGGACCCACTGTCTTACAGCACTGAAACTGAAGTTAAAAGCTGAAATAAGGAGCCGTTACAGAAATAAAATACAAAGAATTAAGAATAAAGAGCCGGGCTGCAGTGCCAAAGAAAAGCACAGCATCTAAAAATGATTTGCAAGACTGCTAATGGCTACAACAATAGAAGCACTATCAACTGGACATCCAGGCAGAAGTATATCCCATCAGTATCCAATCAAACAAGTGGCATTGAAGTATCAAGTGTAGGCACACACATATTTGATACACAGCCGAGTTTGGATCTGTCATATCCAATCCTGAAAGATGGATTGAAAAGACATATGTAGCCTCCGTCATTATATCTCTTTTTCCTACATCTGTATATCTCCATCAGTACGTCTTGTTTATCTCTAACTGTATATTTCCATCTGTATGTTCTCTATATCTCTTTCCTAATATCTTGGTCAGCATCCGTCTTTTTGAATATGTATTTTTGGTAATCCCCGTCAGTCCATCTCTTTCTGTATATTGCGTCTATATATCCTATTCAGTACATCTCTAATTTTCTTTCTGTATACCCATCTGAATATATCTTTCTCTATATCTCGGTCTGTATGTGTCTCTCTGAATATCTAAAGTGTGTTTAGTATATCTCTCTGTATATCTCCATATGTTATCTCCATGTGTAAGTTACTACCTTTAGTATATATCTCTGTCAGAATTTCTCTATCTGTATCCACCATTACTATATCTCTTTTTGTATATCTCCTTCCTGTAAGTCATCTCTGTCAATTCATTTAGGTTTGTTTAAAATCTTAAGATCCCTTCAGCTAGAGCATAGTCAATACGACTTCCTCTAGAAAGTAGATATCATGTTAATCAACTATGGAGTACCACCAAACCATTTCTGCTAACGCTTCAACACAACTTTAGTATACTAGCTTCCATGACATATGAAAATACATGTTAGGTTTAAATAAACGACTCAAGCAATGTGTTTTCCACATTGAGAAAAAATGACATAAGATCTTATACCTTCAACCACTTCTTCTCAGAACACACAAACAAATGCACAGCATCAGAATACTTTAAAAATATTTCAACAGTGTTGTAGACAGTTAGATAAAAGTCTTGCAGTTACAGGAACACATCTACTGTACTTTAAAGAACTGTTTAAAGGTATTATTTAAAACCTTTGTAACTATGTAATCCTCACATCTCTCTTAGGGAGGATCTGAAACGAGAAGGAGAAATGCGAGTGAGGGAAGCGAGGAGCCAAATGGAAAGCAAAGCCTGTCTCCATGGCAACTTTGTATTTCCTGTTTGCATCACCCGAAGTTCAAAAACTAAAAAGCTGTAAATCCAAAAATAGAGAATAGAAATAACTCAAATATCAGAAGTGAAAATGCGTTTTTTACCGTTTGCTGTGCTACGATTCAGAAAGTCTTCTCTAATGATACATCAACTTGAAACAAACAGGCAGAAAACTCAACTCTACTAGAGTCTTAGAGCTTCCACAGTACAGTACCACTGACATATTGACATTTCTGAGTAGCATTGCCACTATAGATGACATGACTATGAATATAACAATAATACACAAAGGGTCCAAAGCATGGATGTATAAAGATAACTGGATAGAGCGTTGGAGGCGGAACAACATTTATTTCTATGAAAGTTGCTCAGTGGCGCCTGAAGCCAAAATAACCTGACCCTTAAAAAACCAAAATGCTCAGATCTTATGGAAATCTGGGCCCATAGAGCATGTAAACGTCCTTTTTTCTTAAGCCCCGCCTCCAATTTGATACGTCACGGCATCGTCACATCGGGTCTCGGCTCAGTCAAATTAATAGAGAGGAAAAATAACTCTAGATTTGGCGTACCGGTTAGTGGATTTAGCTAAAAGAAATTATCCAATGATTTGTAGGACCCAATGAGGTCACGGACTGTCACAGAAGTTATAGTATAAACATTTGGATACTACAAAAATTGGCATCAACACCCGGCTCTCTTTCTGGGGACTTAGTCCAAAGGCTTAATGGACGCCTCTATATGGGTTACAGAATAAAAACATTTGAAATATGCCAAATTCTTTACCGATCCAAAGGGATCTAAATGATAATAAAAACCCATATATGACACACACACACACACACACACACACACACACACACACACACACACACACACACACACACACACACACACACACACACACACACACACACACACACACCCCCTCCTACCTTAATGAGCACCACATCCACAGCCCTCTCTCCCTTGGCACAGAAGCTGTACCTCCTCTTGTGTCTCTCATACATGCCGACAGCGTCTGCAGCTGAGGATCGATGTGTCAATACAAGAGCTGGGTATGAACCATTTCTCCAGTTTAATCCTCAAATATCACACCTCCTTCTACAGTCTCTGCTTTCCGTCTTGACTGCCACTGAGTCAGAAAAACAAATAGCATACGTATAAGATCGGCTGAGGGTGGAGTTCCCAAGAAAAAAAAAAAGATCCAACTGGCAGTTTCCAGAGCGGCAGGCTGCAGATTTTCTTGACACCATAAGAAAAAAGCAACGGGCACGAATCAACTGTTACTTAAAATGTTTGTACCGCTAACAATGCCGGATCATAGTGACTTTAATCTTGAGGTCAAAGACTCCAAACCAAGATGAAAACTCCAGAGTTAAACCAAAATAAGTCCTGCACGACTATGAGTAATCCAGGAAAGTTTCTGGTGTTCCTTCTCGCAGCACTTTGGGTTGGAAAATGAGCCTCTCTGCCCACATCTGTTCGTAGGAGCGGCCCCTCCCTCTTTCCCACTCTCTCTTCCCTTTTTCCTTCAGGCCCTCCATTCCTCTAGCTCTCTTTTTCTCTCACACACGCCCATCACATCTGTCCTTCACTTTGAAACAAACTCGCTCTCATCCATTTGCTACTTCTCTACAGCTCCGTCATGGCGCAGGAACAATGGAGCTCTATCTGATAAGTGCCTCTGCACTGTGAGAGACAGAGAGACCACTTTTATCCACTGGAGTGGGGGAAAACAAGGAGTGTGCTGCATGGAGGTCTTTATTGTGATGTTCTTCAGTGCTGTGGTAATTACATATGCTTGTGTTAATCAAATGGTACACCCATATGCCGGATCATAGCAAACGCTCTTATTCATCTTAGCTGAAGCCTTTATCCAATCAACCGTTAGAAACGTGACATTTTCATGTGATTTTTTTCATGAAAACAAGGAATTATTTTGCTCTTTTTTTTCGTGATAGTGGTGGTGATGCAACTGTACTGGGGCATGGTCCCCAGGCAGAAGACCGGGGTTTGAATCCGTCCCGGGACTATTTACCGCATGTTATCTCCTCTGTCTCTCCGTCAATTCTATCTTTACAATAAAGTGGTCACCCAGCAATATCTTAAAAAAAGGGGGCCAACAGGGGCAAGTGCCCCTTTAAACACCAAGTTTGGACCCCCCTGTGGCTCCCCATCAAAATAAACATCTATAATAATACAACTTGTGATAGTGGTGTAGCAAAGACCGTGCTGTAACCTGGGCCAAAGTTAACAGGGTTTTTTTAATCAATATAGTCATTTGATAAATTAAAACTAAGTTACTGAAACAAATACCAAGAAATTAAATAAAAATAGAATTAAAACAAAGTTTGCATATATACATTTATTTTTAATATAAAAATGTACATACAAATGTATATATATATATATATATATATTATATATATATATATATATGGTATTTTATGTTTTTTAGTGCACTATGACTTTAAACTCAATTTAAAAAAGTTGAAATCTTGTACACCGTCTTTGTCTTCTTTGTCCCACAATAAATGTGCCCCTCTCATTACAACTGACCTAAACCAGGAAACCCACCACCACCTTTCACCTTGAAACATCTCTATCACATGTCTTAGGAAACACTACAGAAGGAACATGAGAGAAAAAACCAGATCAACACTTCATTATTAATGCTATTAAAATGGTCTTTTTGTCCCAATGATTATATATATTTTGGCTGGCTGTAAGGACTTGACGAGAGACAGGGACATTAGGAAGAAGTTATACCTGCTCTGACCACAAGGAAGCAGCAAAGGAGCAGCTGCCAGACACAAACGCACACAAATGTCATACCTGGGTGTCAATTCTGGGGTTGCGTTCCAATAGTCCATTTATCTTAGGAACCTTCCTAACGGAGTGAAATGACCCAGAAGTCCCTCACTGGCAGCCATGATAAGTGCCGTTCCAATTCTCCAAATGAAAGGAAAGGAGGTTTCAAACTTCCTTTATAACCTCCTTTAGCTTAGGAACCACTGGACCTCCCTTACCGAAAGGAGAGGAGAAAATGCTGCCCCACAATGCCTTGCGGCCGCAGCATTTGGCGTCACACAACAGTCGGCCGTTCACGGAAACAACCGATTATGACCGAGAAATGATATCATGAAAGTTACGGTGCTTATTAAGCATTTTAAAACGTATGTGGTAACTTGCCAAAGTGCTTTGTTTTGAACGTTCATCTGTATTATAATCAAAAAGAGAAATATGAACGTTAGTTTTTACTGAAATGATCAAATAAAGTCAACATTTCACAGTCTTTACTGAGCTGTGTGGGGTTTGTTCAACTTTTAAAAGATGTTTGAATGGTGATATACACAGTGATAGATGTTAAGGACTAACGTTTATAATAAATACATTTGTATTGATTTTAAGATATTTTCATACAATCATACGTATTGGGATCATTTGTATTAATGTGGACCGGAGGGAGAGGGTGACGAGCATAAGTTTCACTTTCCTTTTTTATTTCAATTCCAACTTTGGTCATGAAGAATATGTTTCTCTGTTGTCCACGTTCATAAAGCATAAAGCAACAGCATCAGAGCACGGTGCAGAGTCTCTAGATGAGTTTACAGTAGTCCCTCATTCTTATTAAACATCCATGTTGTAGTCCTCTGTATAGAAAACTGTAGTTTCCATAGTTTCCCCACAGCAGCAGACGCACATTCATGACGTCCGCTGGCGCATCATAAACACGTCGGATAGTGAAAGTGCAGTCGGATTCTCAAAGCACCGCAGTCTCTTCTCCTAAGTCCTTTTGAATTCTCCTATCCACTATCCCTTAACCCCGTGACGTTTCACACAGAGGTCAAGGAATAGACGGAACCACGGAAACGGACCCCTCAATGATAACGGGTCCCAAGGTGGATAGATCTGCGGACGGAGCGCTCTGGGGGGCCAAACTGCTCCGTGTGTACGTCCTATACGATCATTTCCTGATAACGATGAAGCCATAGCCCCGCCTCTCCACGTTTATCGAGCCGTATCCGTGTGAACGGAAGACTTTTTTTATATTGAATTTGGTTTGTTTGCGTTCCCCTGTAAATGGGGCCTAAGTCATCTGAAACTGTTGTAACAAGCCCAAACCTGTATACCATCCCATTTAATAGAAATTAAGTTAAAATTACCACTCTGTTCCCACACTGCACGGCCAAAGGACTACATGCTTTTATCACATGACTTGGACAATATATCTGTATTTTTATTTTCAGTAACCAGCAGAAAGCAGTCAGCCCATTACACAGTTTTGGGCAGTTCTAGGAGGGGCCAACAGGGGTTAGTGGCCCTGTAACACAGAGTTGTGACCTCCCTGTGGCCGTCCTCCAATAAAGAGACTATGATAACAAGATTGTTTGGCAATGGCGCTGATGCGATAGGCGAAACCAAATGTACTGAACTTTCTGGTCGCACCCCTTAGAAAGGCTGAAGTGCACAAGAAGAAAACCACCACCTGTCAGCTCCAATAATGAAAACCTAAACATTAAGAGACTACCACTACAAATAAAGGGTGATTTAAACTATTGTGTTTGTGTAATTGATACAAGTTAAGACATTATGGTCAGGCACTGTCGTTGACGTTTCAGCCCTCAGACACAGTATTTGACCCATCTCGATCAAATCCTAACTAAGTTACCTAAATTGATATAGTTACTGAAACAAATAACTTTTTTTAAAAAAAACGAAGTTACTGAAACACATACCATAATCACCGTATTTTATAGTGTTTTTTTGTGCGATTTTGATTAAAAAAATTGAAAACTAGACTTTGTCTCTGTTATCACAAGTTTAATGTGCCCCCTCTCGTAAAATAACTAGCCTCCCATTAAAATTGGTCTAGAACAGCTTATAGTTTCAAACTTGTTCACACCTTCTGCTAGTGTTTGCTAGCTAGCTGTTAGCATATGGAATGTAGCATGCTAACCAAAGAGTTCCAATTAATCAATTTCTATCATTCTTAATTGTGAAATTGTGGAAACCTCATAAGAATATTTTAATCACAGAGCTTATTTCAGGCATTCAACTTAAAACACATTCAAAAAACTGTGTGAAATAAGAGCTACAATGCTAACTCATATCCGGGTTTAGCACTCATTCCTGCACCATTATAAACCACTCATTCTTTACCTTAATGCAGCATTTACTGTGTTAACTGCTCAGGGACAATTAAGTGTTCCTAAGAAAGATCATTTGAACACACACACACACACACACACACACACACACACACACACACACACACACACACACACACACACACACACACACACACACACACACACACACACACACACACACACACACACACACCACACACACACACACACACACACACACACACACACACACACACACACACACACACCTTAAGGTTCCCATATCCATGCAGTGACCTGCTGCTCCATGAGAGCAGTGGCTGCGTCATGAGGAAACATTGGAACAGGATTGATGGGGATTCTGGGGGATCTTAGTCTGGCCTGGTTTAACCTCCAGAGGCCTGGAGAAGCATTGAGGATGTGAGGAAAGCTAACTAATGCTCATATCATCTGAAGGAAGCCGTGTGCAGGCAGAATCATGGGAGCTGTGATTTGCCGTTCTTATCTGGAAACGTATCACTTATCTTCAGATTCCCACAGCTTGTATTTTCCTCGGTTCGTTGTAAAATGACTAAGGCCACATTGTGCTTCACAGAAAGGGCTTTCAACCATGTTTCACGTTCATTCAACGGAAAACATAGTTATCATAAAGGCCAGGTGTGTGTGCACTTTTATCTCATTCTTGTGTAAGCTTTGGTGTGTGTCGAATTCCATGACAGACTTTGAGCTGTAAACAGTGAGCGTTCAAGTGTTCAGCGTTTAAAAGCCCCATTGACTCTTTGCCCCTTACATCATCCCAGACAGCTGTGGACATGTGCCAACAACGTTTATTCACATACAGAAAAATGTCAGATTAAATGTGTTGCTACTGCTAGGAGGTTTCATGCAGCTGTATCAGTGTTAGTCAAACGACTGAATTTAAATAGAGCTTTTACAGCCTTTGCAACCACTCAAAGTGTTTTAACAGACACAAGTCAGCATTCCCCCATTTATACAGACGCAAAGGCTGCCATTCAAGGTGCCACCTGCTCAGGAGGACTATCTCACACACACACACACACACACACCACACACACACACACACACACACACACACACACACACACCACACACACACACACCACACACACACACACACACAGACAGATTTGGGATTAGGTATCTCATCCAAGGACATTTTGACATGCGGGGATCCAACTACCAACCTTCTGATTAGTAAACGACCATTTACCTCCATCTATTTTCTAAATGCTCTGTCTTTACTGAGTCATACCCAATGGAGTAGAAGATTAGAGGACCAGGATCACATTTAAATATTTTCATTTCTTAACTCACCTGCAGAGTGTGTGTGTCGTCTGGTTCGTTCCTGCTCTGCTGACATTCTTCTTCCTCGGCTACTGTAGAGAACAGAGGACACGGCTTCATCAATACACAACATATTCTACTGATTACATTTACGTCATAATATAATAAACCGTTAATGTTGCATTTTTCTCTTTGTGCTATAAAGTATAGTCCTCTTCCCTACAGTTCAGCTGAGGCATGACATGTGTTTGTGATGGAGCACACCAACAGGCTGTCGTGGCAGATGATGTATAACAATATCATTTAGTATGATGTGTTTAGTCATTGAGGGATTCATGAAAACAATAAAGTCTTAAATAGATGGACACACAAACAAGGTCATTATGTGATTTTAAAAAGTTCTGAATTGTGTTGATGATGCAGATTTAAAGTTAGACTACAATGTGTGGTGTGGTTAGGTCATTGTTGGTTCATTGCTAATGATGGCAAAATAAAACCATTGCATCATTGACCAAAACACATTTGGTCCAAGGTTAATGGTCCTCTGCTATTTAAAGCCGTGATAGTAAGATGTCAAACTGAGTTGTTTTTGGGCCCTGCTTCAACAATTTCACTTTGTTTTATCTGAAGGAAACCTCTCACTTCTCCAAATGCTGCATCCACTATTTACAAAGAAATGTGCCTGCACCTGGTTTTCAAAAGGAACAGGAGCTGACCCTGATTCATTTGATTCATATGAGGCTCTGAACACACAGATGGTAACTTAGCAAAAGTACATTTGGACATGCCTGAATGCTCTTTCACAATGCGCTTAAAACCAGGAGCTATATATTGTTTCAAAAGGGCCCTTTCAAAATATAATTCAGTTTTTGTTTGACTATAATACTCTTATACTCAAATAACTTTAGACCACAACTTGCAACAGTATGGCTCCTGACATTAGAGAGTAGTCACATCACTACAACGGTAAACTCCACACCTACTACATCATTAACTTGGTCAAAAACACAGGAAGTGGAAATAAACTCAGTCAACTGAATCAAAAGCAATCCACACTGCTTCTGACCTCTGCTGCTTCATGATGTGAAATCATTTCAAATGATCCTGATGAGATCTACAAGCCTCTGAGGTAGAAGCCTTTCAGCACAACCACTTCAAAGTGTGATGTGTCCCTGTCTTTATGGAAGCGGTGATGACTACCTTGTGAAGTGCTGGTGACATTAGGCAGGTGCTGCTTTAAAGTGCCATGCAGAATTCCAAAGAAACAGTACAGACAATGTGGGTGAGTCAGAGATATCCTGCAGGGAGTTTCCTCCTCTCATGTGACTCAGTAATGCTCCTGGTTAAAATAATTAGGGGGGTGAAATGGAAAGCTTGTCCCTGAGTCAGAAAGTGCTGGAATATTACGCAGTTTACGTACAGAGCTGCCACTGTGGCTGCCTCTAACCGATTGTTGGCCTCACTTCATCCTGATGATTTTTAGTGAGGCAGCATTCATTTAAGATTCTCTTCTTTTCTTTTGGTCTATCAAGGACGTGATGCTGCTGGCTGGCTGTGGTGAAAAGTAACTAAGTACATTTACTCCAGTACTGTACTTGAGAGACTTGTAGTTTTTCTATTTTATGCTAATGTACATTTCTACCCAACTTCAATTCAGAAGTAAATGGTGTACTTTTCCTCCACTACATGTATTTAATCCCTTTAGTTACTTTACAGATGTGGATGAATGATGTGAAATATAATCAAGTGTTAAATCAGACTTTAGTTCCACCTGGAGTAAATCCACCAGCTACCCTGCAGTATACAAAGTCATTCAAACTAGCTGCACCTTCACCAGCTTTGAGGACACTTTCATGATCAATCATTATAAAACATATCAGATATATTATTCTGAAATGGACCAATCTGCACAATGAATACTTTTACTTTTGGTACTTTACATTTATTTTAATGCTAATACTTTTGCACTTTAACTTGAGAAACATTTTGAATGTCCTTGGGAGCAGTGTTTTCCTAGAAGAACACCGTTTCTGTCTCTGCTCTGTGTATCTGGGTGCTGGAGGGACACCGCCACTGACACCAGAGGATATTAATGATCATGTGACATTCTAGCAGCAGTTCATACATTGAATATAGGTAAAACACTGACAACAGATTGTACTAAAAGAAACAACTTCTCCATATTTGCCATAGACTGATATTTACGGAGGCAAAGGTAACTGTCTGCTGTGATTGGTTGTTCAAATTGATCAATCATAGATCTCTCTTCTGAGCGCACCTTCCGCACATTAACATGAAATATAAATGATTATGACTGTGCCTTAAAAGCAGCATGTGTCAGTCTTTTGGAGGGATACAGAATGCTTTAGAACTTGAGTAGAACCAAATGACAGACCAAGTGAAATCAGAATATCTTACAACACAGCTGTGATACACAATAGCACAAGTGTTCCTAACTACATGGACAGTGGCTAAACAACACAACAGCCAGTGTATTCATGAGGTTAGAAAGAATGTATGTTGTTCATTAACCATGGCTCTCTTTTGTTTTGGTGTCCTGGTAAACCATAACCGTGCCAGTAAACCAGTATGAGCAGTAACAGAAACCTGGAGCAGTTTAGCCTTTCATCTGGGTATTTATTCTGTTCTACTGTAAGCTCCTATCCGCACTCTTGGTCACCCAGATTCTCCAAAACAGATTTATTCTATGGATGGTCAATTTAATTTTATAAGAAAGTTTACTATGAAAGTGAATATATAAACTTCCATTTTAACATGTTTGGGTGATACTAAGATACTTACTTATCTTTAACACTAGAACCGCCAGAGGTCGCTGTATACCTAAAACCGCCAAGGGGTCAAATTTACCCGATATTGATTTGCAAGGTACAATGTTCTTTTATTTATCATACAAGAACAGTGAGTTTTGATCGCACAGGGATGAAACGTATACCAATAGAATCTGTGGACTCTCAGCTTTTCATATGATATAGTTTGTGCAGATAGCATGAAGTATAAAATATCACTACCAGTGCTGATTTAAACGCTTGGTGTTACCCCCAGTTTCCACCGGGTCCGTCTGCGCCGCGCTGCACCGCGTTACGGCTGCGCCGCGGCGGTCGTAAGGATCGCGGCCACTCTAGTCAATGGGTGCTATTCCACCACACGCGCCGCGTAACGGCTCAGACGCGTCCCAGAAGCGGCTCGGCGCAGCGCTTCTCTAAAATTAGGATTAATCCTATTTTTGCCTCATTTTATATGAGGTAAATATTACCCGCTGTCGGATATGGCGATTTTTTCAATCTGACTTCATATTGACAATTTTTAACAACAGAGGGTGCTAGATAACACACTTTCAGGAAAAGTCCCGGACTGGGAGACTTGAATATTTTATTGAAAAAAAGTTACATACAATCAAAAAACAGCTGCGGGTAAAATTGACCCGTTGGCGGTTCTAGTGTTAAAAGGAAGTTAAACTAACGAAGAGGATTTGTTCAACCTGTCATTAGATTTCAGCTAATAACAGAAGGATCCTGCATCGTAAATAAAAAGCATCATTTCCTATTCAGTCTTGAAAATAAAGGCTGGCTGTGCTAGGGATTTGGTGACCAGCTCAATACAAATGACAAATGTTAGAAGTACTATTTTTACTGGCTCTATATAGAAACACACAAACATACTAAATACACACATCTGAACGCTCATATGTAACAGCATGTTGAAACCCTGACACACACAGAGACACAGACAGACACACACATACAGAAACTCTCGAAAGCCCACATCCAAAACACTCATATGTAAGAGCACATGAAAACCCTAACACATGAAGAGACACACACTGACACACAAACGTATTGCACACATCCAAACACTCACATGTAACAGCACACCCTCACAGCTCTCTCTCTCTCACACACACACACACACACACACACACCACACACACACACACACACACACACACACACACACACACACACACACACACACACACACACACACACACACACACACACACACACACACACACACACACACACACACACACACACACACACACACACACACACACACACACACACACACACACACACACACACACAGCACAAGCATTTCTCGGCCCACCTCTAGTTTCACTGTCCACTGTTAAGTCTTGATGACATCATCAGGTTGCCTGGATACCGTGCCCCATACAAACAGAGACACACTCAGCCCCTGCCCTGTAGCTGACACTACGCTCCGGCTTCCTTCTATTCTAAAAGCAGCCAGCATCGTTCAAAATGGAGGGGGGGGGGGGTAGATCCTTATACTGACTACTTCATGCCAACTACTGACCAATACATCTAACTGTGAGAAATGTTCCTTCATGGCTGGTTGAAAAATACATGATGTATCTTAGTGGGTGTGTTTTGTTCATTGCGTCTCATCGTGAGTATGAATTTGAAGCATGTGTATTGGAGTGTGTTAGGCATACAAACCCCAGAAAGAGACGTTTTTGGGGGGGGTTTAGACCTCTGAGGATTAGGGCCAAATGTGAAATGCTTTTTGAAGATCTGACCAAAAGTGAACTTTGTTTTGAGTTCTGAGAAAGAAATCTGAATTATGACCTCACAGTTAGAATTCTGACTTGTATCTCTTCCCTCCGATCAAAATAAATACAAACATAAAGATTCTCTAAATGTCAGACACTTGAGGCCTGATAGAAGTTAAATCTCCCTACATGGACCTTGAGACATCTAGAAATGAACGATGTTGTATTCCTGAATGTGCTTTGATTTCAATGCCAATTCAAAATCACAATAGCATAATATCAATTGAAACTTTCTTATTAATGTCTAAACAAGCTGTGGTGACATGACAGCAACTGCAGTGGGTGATAGCCTGCTAACGCTCATCATGTTGGAGTTGGCAAACTTCAAAACAAAACCAGAAGCTGTTTTCTGTTTTACATGCATGCGTGTTATTCCCACCAGGCGTGTACATGGATTTATGGTTTGAAAAGAGAGAAGGGATGGTGTTTCATAAAAAGCAAGTAAGTCTTTCTATCTGATCAAAACACATCATTTATCCAGGATTTCAAAATAAAACTGGAAGCTGTTTTCTGGTTAACATTAGTGTGTTATCCACATTAGGCTAATGGTTAGCAGCTAGCTCAATAGATGTTGAGTGAATGTCTATTCCTATCTTACAACTTTCATGTATTTTATACCTGTGTTATTCTATATTAGCTTGTTTTTGTGTTTATTTGATTATTTTCACTTTTTAACGACTGTTTTTAAATGTCATTTTAAAATGTGATTCCGCTGCACTATTTCTTAATAGTCTTAATGTTTTTTTTATTTTTGTAAAACATTTGAATTGCCTTGGTGCTATATAAAAATAAAACTTGCCTGGCCATTCCTCAATAAATATGACCCTGGCAGGACATCATGTAGTAATACTTGTCAATATGTTGATCCCAGGTAAATATAGAGGTAATGGAAGGGAAAGATGAATGGTGAACAAAATAAAAAGAGAGCAAGACAGGAAAGATATAATCACTGTAGTAATGGATAGTTATTTACCTGTCGAGGGTGTGTCGTCCAGTGAGACCATGTCTTTCCTCATCATCTTCTTATTTTCTCTCTCCTTCCATCCATGCACTGTATCCAGAGTGTCCTTCCCCTCAAACACGCCAACCTCAGCAATATTCATAGCAACACTCTCATGGCCTTCGCTCTGGAACGTATCACTGCCAGCACCAATAGGGATGGCAGGGAGAAGGGTCAGGTCCTCTAAAGACTGGGATGACCGGTCTGTTTCCACTGGCACAGGGGAAGGGAGTTCCTCTGGACCGGGATCAGCCATAGAAGTTGAGTTACAGGGGGTAACAGGAAGTGGCAAAATGGGAACGTCTGCTTCACACGCTGTCTGGACCGGACGATCCAGCTCAGGTTCTGACATTTCCTTGGAAGCTTGCTCACCATTCTCCCTTTCCTCACTCGCTTGGCTGTGTGGATGACTGCATTCAGCCTCGGCAGTGATGGATTCTAAAAGCTGATGTTGTATACCCCTCTCCTCCTGACAGATAGACTGATCCTGGTTTTCTCCAAGACTGTCCTCAGAATCAGGGCAGGAAGGATCTTTCTTTTCTGGAACAAAACCAGGGAGTTCTATCTGCGTATGACCTTGGATGTCTACCTCGTTGCTAATCTTTTCCTGCAAAGGTTTAATATCAACGGGCAGCAGAAGGTTCTCTTCGGGTAGAGAACATGTAAAGACTTTGTTAAGCGTACTCTCCCTTAGGAATTCCTCTTTGTCGAGTTGTGGTAGACTGGGAGTGTCTGCAAGTGCTGACAGGTCAAGGTTAGCCTGCTGCCTGCTAGCCAGCTGTGCTGCTGCTGGCTTCTCTGTCTCAGCACTACACTGCAACACCACACAGTCCTGGGATGCTTCAACATGAGCTTCTGTAGAAGGGAACTGATCAGTAGGTTCAGTGTCTGAATGCTTTTCTGTCTCAGCTTCTACTAGTTTACAGGTCTCTTTGTCTTTGTTCCTCAACTTCAGTAAATCATCTGCTATCTTTTGGCTTAGCTCTATGCTAGCCATAGCTGATGCTATTGCTACCGCTACAACTGCTATTGCTGTGGCTGCTATGTTTTCATTGTAGTTCTGCTCTTTTTCTTTGTCTATGTGAGACAGCTCCTTGGCATTAACCATCCCGCCGTCATCTTCTTGACTCCTACTTCTTTCCTGACTCGCTTCCTCTTCACCCACACACAACTTGTTGGTATTTTCCTCCCTGTGCTGCTGATCTCTCAGCATCTCAGTGGCCAAACAATGCTCCAAATTTTCCATCACAGTTGTCTCAGCACTTCCTTCCCCTATTTCAAGTGGTAAAACATCCGCTGTAGCTTCAAATGGCACACCAACAGCTTCTGTAGGACGCACTGATTCCATGAAGGGTCTTCCCATGAGATCCACTGACGCAACAGTTTCTACATGCTGTGAATTCTGTTCGGGAAATTCCACAAGTTCCTTTGTGAATTCTGTAGGAACTAAAAGTTTGACAGTAAGTTCCTTTAAAGAGTTAGATTCCACCAAAACTGTCCGCTCCACGGATGTCTCATCTTTTCCGTCAACCGTCAAATCTTTATTTTCGGACGCTGCCTTTATATCCACATAATCCAACGTTTGTTGGACCAGACCGGCAAGCCCGTTTGATTCCAGCTCTGTCGGCTCAAGTATTTCCTTTCCAACTGGTTGCACACTTGTTATTTCCTCTCCCTCTGCGTTTTTGTTGTCCGTTTGACTAAGCTCTGAAGCAGTGACAGTAGAATCCGTGCTAAAGTGATCAGGTCCGTGAACGTCCATGATGTCATCCTCTGATAATCCTTCTGTTTCTAGAGTCTGTGAAGCCGTCTGATCTGTTTTCCTGTCTGCGGGAATAAACTCCTGAGTGGTACCAGTACAGTCTGAGTTGGTGGCATCACAGTCGGGGACATGAGTGGCCCTGGTCTGGCACTCTGTCTGGCTGGGTAGATGCATGGCGTCCTCTCCGCTTCCTGTTTTATCCTTGGACTCTTTCTCTGACTGAGTGTTCAGGTTTGTCACTTGTTCTCTCTGACTTAGAGAGTCTATGCTTGAGCTGGAGCTAAGTTTGGCCTCCCCCGCCTCCTCTCCTTCCCCTCTTCTTCCTCCTCTTTTTTCTGCCCTTTGCTCCGCTCCCTTGCTTCTCTTCTCCCTCCTCGATGTCTGCCGTTTCAGAACTCTTTCTGCTGTGACTGGTGTCTCTGTTACTAACCTCCTCTCCGTCCCCCTCCACTCCTCCCTCCTTCCACTCCGGCCCTACTTCCTCCTCTGGCTGTGATCCGTGCACTTCCCGTCTTTGTGCCCGGGGCCCATGTGATAGTGCTGGCTGTGTTCCAGCAGCATGTGGCTGACTAAGAGCTGAGGACAGTTGATGAAAAGCAAGTCCCTGATCTAACAGCTGTAGAGAACTAAGACCAGAAGCTTGGGCCGAGCCCAAATCACATTCTTCCTGCTCCCTCATTCCCTGCTCCAGCTGTTCGTGTTTGCTCTGATCTGGTGTGTCACTGTCATACCAAACGGACTGGGATCTCACTTCCTCTCTGTTACAGGCTTCATCAGCACCCTGGTCTAGGTTTTCACCCTGATACCAGACAGTGTGTGCTACGGTGTCTAATCCTTGAGGGGGGGATCCCACTGTGCTTCCCATCCAGCCTCCACCCCGCCACAGCCCTCTCAGAGGTTTTATGTCCATGTCGGGGGACTTGGGGTTGGTATTCTGAGGACTGTTGTTCACAGTGTCAGGTTGGCCCGGCTCCTCTGCGTCTGACAGGCTTTCCTGGGGATCTTTCGATTGTTCCTGACCCATGGTTACTGAAAAGAGACAGCATTAGATTAAGGACGACAAAATACACTTGTTTAGCTTGGTCATCATTTTCCCCCAATTTCATTAGAAGTCTGGAAACATGGCACACTTGCTACGAGAACGCTATATCGGTCACAAGCATTCCAATGATCAGACAGGTCAAACAAATGTCTGTCTTTGTGTCTGTCTGAATTATAATCAGAATCTGCTCTATTGCCAGGTAGGTTTACTCATACAAGGAATTTGCATTGTTGTATATAACAATGTATATAACAATGTTGTTGTACATAAACACGATAGGAGGAATTCAATTGTGCAAAAAGAGGAAGAAATACACAACTACTTTTAAAGCTAGTGTAAAACTATTTCAACATTTTGAATATATCAAAAATAATTGTTTACAAGAAATATAAATAAACAAAAAAATGAAGTACAAGGAGAAAATGACAAATTACCTGCCACATTAACATGATGGACTCAAGTGCTGTTGTTACCTAATGTTAATTGTCCCTTCTTAATTCAGAAATGTAAAAAAACGAAACACATTAATTTTCTCTAAGAATACATTGTGTGCAGTATATTATAATTCAATGTGGCAGAGCTGTGCCGTTATAAAAGTTTGTCAACCTGCATGCCTGTCTTTTAGACGAAAGATGTTGTCTCTTTAAAAGGATCACAACAAGATGCATTCACAGAACTGTGCAGGTGGGCAGTGTGCATTTAATATCACACTTAAGGTTGACCGGAGGTGGTCAGAGCAATGGTGCAAGACAACATGAAATGAGCCATCTCCTCCCACTCTTTACTACTTTGACTCACCATGGCTGGTGAGATCCAATCGCAAGATAGACACGTTTTACTTACATGTGTTATTCTAAATCCCATACTAACATATACTTACTTTTCCCAAAGTATATATTCTAGTGAGACAATAAAATGCTTTTTCTGAGTGTCTTCAGGTTCCCATGTTGGAATGTAGCCTCTGCTAGCTTGTTTTGTTGTTCCTGCACTTAGACTTATTTCCCTCTTGGGTGTAATAGTTGAACAATCAGCAGTGTGACTCAGTGCTGCTGTGTGCACACTCTATCTGTTCCCCAGATCACTTCTTTATTTGTATCCATTAGGTGGAAGATTAACAGCACAAGCTTTTCCTGTTTCATCATGTGAATGTACCAGTGATAAAGTTACCTGCAGCTGATTCCAGATCAGGGTTGACTTCAGCCGGTCCAGTGCCCCCCCGCTCTGTCTGTGCTCCTGTCTCTACAACTCGCTCACATATCAATGGCTCAGCTTCCCACTTCTCTGCTTCCTGTTTTTCTACGGTGGTGTTGATGGTGGGCAAGGCCACTGCTTTTCTGCCAGCACACTTCCTATCTCCACCTGGTCCAGACTCTGGCTTTATGGGTAATGGAGTCTTTTCTGTTTTTGTGTCGACTTTCACTGATGCCACCACTGGTTCTCTGGGTGAAATAGGTCCATCGGTCTCAGTTGTACTTCCTGTTGCAGGCTGCGGTGTGCTCCCTCTATTGGCCTCTGGGGTGCTTCTGTTATTTCCTGGAGATTCTGCAGCGTGTCTGGTGCTTTTTCTAGTTCTCTTTTTGTTTTTCCTGTAGCGTCCTGCAGGAGAGTTGGCAGCCGGGGCTCCCTTCTGTTCTCCCCCGGCTTCCTGCCCCTGACAAAGCTTTGCACTGGTACAGGATATGTGAGTGACAGCGGCAGAGTCCTCCCCCTGTGCTCTTTGCTCCAATGATGGCGGACTTCCCCCTTCTTCTTTTGTTGTGCTACAGGTCTCTATGGTAACCACGGACAGGCCGTTAGAGCAGGGCTGCGGAACCACATGTGTCGCTGCGACACTTCCCTGCAGGAAGGAAGACAAAACCAAATAAAACCTCAGTCGCATTTAACACGAGTAAGAAATTCAAAACATATTTGTTGGTTTAGTTGGCTGCTGTGAAACTGTCAACCTATATGTATGTGTAACCATGGTGACATGACCACACATTAGCTTACAATAAGACATCATTCACAAGGCATATGTAGGGCTGCACGATTTGGAAAAAAGAAATAGTTGCAATAATGTTTTGACTAATTTCGCATTACAATATGGGAGGGATTGTTCTTTTAGCATTGTTATTCTCATTGAAAAATATATATATAATATATATATTAATATAATCATGTTGTGATCTTTTAAAAAATAATATGCACCAACAAATATACTGTGGTTAGTCTGTACAATATATTTGAGTAGGTTGGAATATATCTGCAGCTCCACAATACTTCATTAAAAATAAACATATTTAGCCTTAAATATTGTGCATCCTGTGCTTTGAATATTGGACTAGACAATATTGCGATTTAGAACTGTAGCCAAACATGGAGAAAACAAGAGCTGTGATTGGTCAGTGTGGCCTGCTAGTGTTTCTGATGGTAGTGGAGAATGGCTGAAGATTTAATAAAGCATCAACATCTGTCAACCTCAAAGAAACCCTGTAAAGATGAGTCTCATTTACTAATGACACAGAAGGACCTCCTCACTTATATCTAGTGTTGTGCTAAACTAGTAAATACTAGTCACCTCCTGGTAACCCTCCGAGATATACGATATATGGTCGTCACCTTCTCTAAAAATGCTAGTATAACCTCAACCATTTCCTGCACATTAAGTGATTTGCACATTTATTTATAGGACAAACTGAGCTATCAAAATATGTATGCTGCTAGTCAGTCACATAAATGTATAAATAGGTATGACACAATACAAACCCAAAAAATCAGCTGTTTGTCACTCAGGATCTATCTGTCTTGCATAGCTCAAAATAATAAATCCACAGTCATTGCATCGGGGAAAAAAGCCTTGGATTCTTCAAACAGACTACACCGAATGCATCATGGGCTATATAATTAGATAGAAAGATATTTTATAATGCCTAAAAACATAGAAATCTAGCGTCAATGTGGTTAAATAATCATAAAAGCAACCCATTGTCTGTTTGTTAGCTGCATGAGGTCTCTAAAAAACACTATTTTATAGGATAGATTACAAATAGCCTGAAAATGGTTACAGGCGCTTGGCACCAAGTGTGAGAATGGTCTGACATTGAGCTATTACAGGCATTTGATAACTGTTAGCACTGTTCTGGAGATATCCTCACAAGAGTGAGAAAAACTCCATGTTGTCGTACACAACGTCATCAATCTCAGAGGGTTAAGCTTGGTTGCCTCAGCTACTGAAACTAGTATTAAAACTGATTCCTTATAATAAACTACAGTACAGTTGAAGAAAGTATTACAGCACAGTAACAGCCTGTAGAGCAGCAGGACAGGGAACCCTCCGCTCACCTTTTTGTCCCTGTGAAGACGGATATGTCTCCTCAGCTCCTCCACCTCCCCCTGTAAGCAGCTCTCTTCACTTCTCTGTGTCTCGGCCCCCTCCTCTCTTCCAGGGAATGTTAGGGTGTAGGTACCGAGATTCAGATGCTGTTGAAACACTCGGCCTCCTGGGTAAAAGTGCAGCCGCTCTTTTGGTTCCACTTGCACAGTTGAAGACTTCTCAAACCTGCAATGACACAAAATAATGTCACTGAACAGTATGTACAAACAAACTGCTCCTGTTTTTCTTTTGTCACACTCACCGTGTTGAACTCCATGTTGGATAAATAAAAGGCAATAACTAGAAGGTAAGAATACACAACTTAACGAAAAATCCGGACAACACCCAGCCCCTGTGGCACACACACAGTGCCCTGTGTGAGGATGACATCACTTCACACCCCTCAGATCCTCCCACACACAGAGCTGGGATCAGCTGAGCTGCCTGTCAGCGAGCACAAAGGCTCCGGGACTTTCTGCTCAACAGCACAGAGAAACTCCTTACAGAGAAATCACATCCCACTGTGACTGACACACACAAACACACACACACACACACAAATCACACACAGAGACACATACATTCAGACACACTCAAGATTCCCAATCATAGGAAAAGTTAGTCTTATTACAGTATTAACTGGAGTTAAGCATTGAGACGTTAACCCTACAGGTCCTGAAGCATTTTCCCTTTGATCAGGGAAGTTAATCTCCCTCCTTGCGTTATTCACCGCCTCCCTACCCCCTCCTGCGCATAACAAATACGAACCGCCACTACTATCGTGTCTGATTATGAGGTCTCTACACAAGATGATTACGCTACATTCCACTGTCAATGTGCGCACAAAACAAACTCTGATTGTATTACTACTGATGATATAGGGCAATGTGCATGTTAATCCTGGACCTTTTAGTTCTGACCTGTGCCCTGATGTCAATCTTTGTCACAATGATCTGAGTTTCCCTAACTTCTGCTCTCGTAAAGCTTTAGGTTTTCTACATGTAAATGCTAGAAGCTTACTGCCAAAAATGTACCAGATAAAAGTACTCGTTCACAGATCAAATCCGGAGGTACTTGTCATCACTGAGTCTTGGCTGAAGAAGAATATCCCAGACTCTGACATCGGCATCGCTGGTTATAATGTGTTTAGGCAGGATAGATCATCTAAAGCTGGGGGAGTAGTTATATTCACAAAGCAACACCTCCAGTGTTCTATCGCCACTAGTAAATCTGTCCCCAAACAATTTGACCTACTTATCGTAAACATTAAACGGGCAAATAACTCTACACTGACAGTCGCTGGCTGCTATCGCCCACCCTCTGCCCCAGCATGTACCCTACCTGCTCTCAGCACCCTCCTGGCACCCCACACTCCTTCTGAGTTTGTGCTACTGGGGGATCTAAACTGGGACATGCTCAACCCTCCTGCACAGGTCCAAAAACAAGGGGACTCTCTTAATCTCTCACAGATTATCCTCACTCCTACACGGTATGACACCAAAAATCCAGAAAAAGCCACCCTCCTTGATGTCATCCTCACAAATAACCCTGACAGGTACAAAACTGGCATCTTCTGTAGCGATCTCAGTGACCACTGTCTTATTGGCTGCATTTGTAATGGCGGCACAATTAAACAGCCAGTCCTTACCACTCACAGACGAATACTGAGACATTTAGACGAACAAGCCTTCTGCTACGATCTGACTGCTATCAAGACAGAATTAGCTTGATTCCTGACATCGATTCTGCATGGTCCTTCTTTTATGACTCCTTTGGTATGGTAATCAATAAACACGCTCCCATAAAAAAACTGAGGATAAAAAACCGATGCAGTCCTTGGTTCAACCGAGATTTAGCTGAACTGCTTCACCTCAAGAACTCCACCTGGCGCAGGGCTCGTCACTCAAAATCCCACGACGATTAGCTATCATTCAGGAACATTTCAAATAAGTCTATAGAGGCTATCCGCAAAGCCAAGGTTGATTACTTCCATAATCAATTCAACCTCTGTGGATCCAATCCAAGGACATTCTGGAAAATAGTGAAAGAGATGGAGAATAAACCCCCATCCTCTCATCTGCCTAACTCCCTCGTTATTGAGGATACAGTAGTCACCGGTAATGAGCGCATAGCAGAGCTCTTTAACCAGCACTTTGTTAAATGTGGGACTCTATAGCGCCTCCTAAGCCCCCCACCAACACTCCGCCACCCAGCCCCTCCAGCGCAGCCTCATGTCACAGCTTCTGCTTGCAGGAAGTTAGTGAGAACGATGTGCTGGAGGTCCTTAGTAAACTTGACCCCAACAAACCTGCAGGTCTTGATGGGCTAGACCCCATATTTTTAAAAGTTGCAGCCCCAATTATTGCAGAAGCTATCTCCCACCTTTGGAATCTGTCCATACAGACAGCAGTGCTAGCTTCTGCCTGGAAGGCAGCCTCAGTGCAACCTTTGTTTAAAGGGGGAAACCATGCTGATCCCAACTGCTATCGTCCAATATCCATTCTACCCTGTATAGCGAAAGTGTTAGAAAAGTTAGTTTGCAAACAGCTAACATGGTTTCTGAAGGCTTACAACATTCTATCTGACATGCAGTCTGGGTTCCGTGCAGGTCATGGGTGTGAGATGGCGACTAAAGTCCTAAATGATATCATCAATGCCCTTGACTCCAGACACTGTGCTGCCATTTTCATTGATCTTGCCAAAGCCTTCGATACTGTAGATCACCAACTGCTTCTGGGAAAACTTAGATGCATTGGTGTCACTAACCAATCGATAGCCTGGTTTGAAAGCTACCTGTCCATGCACACCCAGTGTGTAAAATCTGACAATCTGATGACACAGCCCCTATCCATCTCTAAGGGAGTACTACAAGGCTCTATCCTAGCACCCAACCTATTCTCAATATATATATAAATGACATGGAGAAATCAGTGGGCAACTCCTCTATCCACCTATATGCCGATGACACGATTCTGTACACTGCTGGCCCTTCCACAGATACTGTCCTTAAAACTCTTCAGGATAGTTTTCAGAGAATCCATTCACATCTCTCTGCCCTTGGCCCAGGGCCGTGGGAAGTAGGGGTGCTGAGGGTGCTGCAGCACCCCCTGGTGGAGGACAGGGGATCTGCACTTCCACAAGATTAAATACAAATATAATACAAAAAAAACAAATGTTCAGCCTTGATGTAACAAAATTCATAATTGAGTAAAGATAACACCCTTTTCACCCCGGTTAGAGTGAGAGAGAGAGAGAGAGAGAGAGAGAGAGAGAGAGAGAGAGAGAGAGAGAGAGAGAGAGAGAGGGTGCACCGGTACCAGCGGGGATTATTGTTAGCTTCTGCTGTGCTAATGGATATAAGAAGCTCTTTCTACAATAATGTGGAGGGAGAGCTCTCTCCTGTCAGACTGAGAGGCTCAGTGAGGTAAAGGACTTTTGAGTGTTTAGATCAGGGGTAGCCAACACGGTGCCCGCGGGCACTCAGTCGCCCGCAGGGGCAACGTGAGGCGCCCGCCGGGCACATTCTAAAAATAGCTCGCCAAGAAAATCCAAAATGTATAAAATACACAAAACAAAAAAGGAAATGTAATTAAAAGAATATACCCTATGCATAAACGAAACCTAAATCATAGCGAACTCTATCTACTTACTACAACTCTATATCTAACACCCCTCCTCCCCCCACCCACACAATGAATATCGACCAATCACGTTCTTGCTTGATTTGCGGGACCAGCGTTGCAGTCGGGAAGAAAAGCAATGTGGCACCTCCCTGCTGATTTTCCTTCTGGCAGAATCTACACATCAGCCCCATTGAACAGCCTATACAGCACATGAGGGGCAGAGTTTTACTGTGTGTGTTGCAACTTGCATATTTATTTATTGCACTTGACGCACACACACGCATGGCGTAATCTCCAGGGGGGACATGTCCCCAGCACTTTTCGAAATCCCGTTTGGGTCCCCCCACTTTACAAATATGTTTATTATTATTTTGTAACGCAAGCCGTCATCGCCACGGAGGAGCACACAGCCTCTGTGTGTGTGTGTGTGTGTGTGTGTGTGTGTGTGTGTGTATTTAATATAGATGAAGTAAGAAATCATTCCAATGTGTACTATAGGACAGTACAAAAACAGTTTAAAAGGGGAGTGATTAGTAAAATATGCATAAATAAAAAGAAAGAATGCTAGGTAACATAAGATAAGAATAAACAAGTTTAAATGATTTGTTATTGGTTGTGATCATATTCTAAAGATGATTGGATTATTGAAAAGTATACAGCTCCCTTTCATCTGAGTGTTGAGAGCTGTATCCATACATTCATGTTGTGCTCAAAGTGCACCAGATTGATGCATTTCACTTCAACATTTAAAAAAAAAATCTTCCCGGGGGTGCATGCCCCCGGACCCGCCTAGAGGATGTGAGGTCCACCCCTAAATAAAGCAGGTTAAAATAATTAAATTGAATACATGTTATTTTAGTAAACACTGAAAACGGGTCCCACAGACCCAAACAGCACACAAAGGTTAAAGGTAAGCATATAATAATGTTAAAATGTGCTAAATATATACACTGCAAAAAAACAAAACAAAAAGTAAAAGTAGCCCCCGACTTGTTTTATTTTTTGAAAGTAGCCCTCATCCTAAAAAAGGTTGGTGACCCCTGGTTTAGATAGTTCTCTCAGTGGGTCTCAAACGGTTTGGTCACAATTTATGTAAACAAATATTTCCAAGGCACTCCTTTATAATTATTAGGATAAATAAAAACAGGTTTGAAATCATTCCAATTTATACTAAAGGATAGTAAACCAAAAATATCGTTTAAAACTGGAGATAAAAAAAAATGTGCATAAATAAATGTTAACTAGGTAAAATAAGATATGAATGAACCACAAAAATAAAATAAGTTTTAACATTTATTTTGTATTGGCTATGGTAGGTTATTGGTTATGTTCACATACTTATTTGATTAATAAAATGCAAACCGATCTTTTTCATATGGGTGTTTAGAGTTGGACACCCGGGACCCCCCTAGAGGATGTGACGACTACCCCCCAATTAAAACATGTTCATACAATACTAAATACATTTGAAGCCTTTTTATATAAGCTGTCCACCATGTCAATAAGTTTCTCTGTTTGTAGTGTATTTTTTGTAGAGGTTTTTCATTGCCAGCTAAAATCTTG